AGCTGCTCACAATCGAGTTGCAGAGACGTCCGCGTGTCAGCGACTCAGTTGCATGCAACCGATCGCTCGAGTGTGGACTCGGCTTAAGAATGGATCCCTCCTGTAAATCGGTTGAATGAGTGTCATTTCATAAGGTAGAGGAGAGAGACGTGTAACATCCTAACCTGCCATGTGATGCAATAAAATGTCACGATCCAGGCATACGATGTAATGCAAAAAAATATTGTAAAGTCGTTTTGTGATATGTCCTGTCAAGCTTGTTCAACACCTCGTAGAATTTGTTAAAAAACCCAAAAATGTGCATTAATGACAAACAAGGTTTAGCGCTTGTATCCAGAGTATAACCGTCAATGTTAATAAATACGTGGACTTTGATTACCGCCTTTGCAAGAGGCATCTCGATGTGGAGTTGTCATTGGGTTGGCGGGGTGGGTGGGAGGTGGGGGCTGGCACGACCGCCCGACAAATAACACATTCCTGCGGAGGGAGCTGCTAGGAACGTTGGGTTGCTCGGTCAATGGCCAGGGTCAACGGCGGCGTGGTGTATTCCGCAAGTATGCCCGACTGTGAGGGCGGGCACAAGCCGGCGTGAGTAGGTTAAACGTTGAGTTTTATAAGGGCACCACGGGGTGACCAGCCCCTCGCCACCCAGCCCCACCCCTCCCACCCCCCACCCAGCCCCTCCCCTCTCCACCCAGCCCCACCCCTCCCATTTTTGGATGCACGACGGACGGACACAATAATCCCGTGGGCTGGTGTAACCAGGAGGTTCCTACCAGTAAAATCCCAAGATCGTGGCTTCGTTCATTTCCCCTGGCATGGGCATCAACCGCCTGAGCCCCCACCTGGCGTCCTCGCGGTCTGCACTGACAGAGATGGGGAATTGCCATGAGGCGGATTAAGCTAATGCGGGTCCTGTAGCAGACGCTATAAAGGGGCCCTAAAAAATAAAAAAATATTAGAACACAAATGTTTTGCTTGCATAGTAAAGTAATTGTATTTTTTCATTTTCTATACAGCCAGATACTACGACAAATTGCTAACCTTCAACACTCAGTCGTTCATAAAAGCTGAAGGCGGTATAGTACTATAGTAATAGAGCAAGTGCAGAATCACTGAACCGGAGTTGATAGCTTGACAGCATTTAGCGCGGGGCCCTTGAAAGTGCGGAGCCCGTAGCTGCTACACGTGTAGTAGCTGCTACACGTGTAGTAGCTGCTACACGTGTAGCAGCTGCTACACGTGTAGCAGCTACTACACGTGCAGCTGCTACACGTGTAGCTACTTTTGCTACTGGGATAATCCCACACTGGACAACCGGCCATGTAAATAAATCACTCCCAGCGAATCTGTCGCAAAGCAAAAGTCAGCATTTTTGTTTCGGTTCACCCTGTCCATCAACTTCGACAGAATTGCACTTTGATTGTCGCCAGATCTCGGAGGCTGCAGCGGAGTTGAGCCCCGATTGGGTCAGTTTCCCGTGGGCTTCGTTGTGGCCAGCAGAGGGCATTGCAGGGCACAAACAAAAGCCGTGGTCGTACCTGTGGCCGTCTTCACCAACCCCACCGAGCAGCGTGGTGATGTATGGTCAAATAACTTCCAACGTCTTCATCCAGCACTGGACTGGCAAAAGGGACATTGATTCGATGCATAAATGATGTTTTGCCTGGTTTGTACTGCCAGTTTCGTATGATGTCTTGTTCGTTTATGTTTGCACAAAGATGTAAATGTTTATATGTTGAACTTCTTTCGCACTACGTAGCCAACCGCGATAATCTGAGATTATGCATAATTAGTCAAAACATCCAGTCTTAAGACGTTATGCAATCAGGGCTTAATGTCTGACTGGGTTTTCTCTCGAACGCTGATAGGCCAGATTAGAGTAAAGATAATCGGCGTAGGGCACTACCTAGAGCAGGGGTCGGGAACCTTTTTGACTGGGAGAGCCATAAAAGCCAAATATTTCTAAATATATTTCATTGAGAGCCATATAGTATTTTTAACGTATAATAAATTAAATATGTCTTACTTTTAATGCGACTTCTGGTGCTGCGTGGTTTTGCTGATGGCCTTGTTGTCTGGTTCATACTTGGTGAGGTTGAGCTTCATGCAGGCGTGACCCGTGAAATTTATCTTCAAAACTAATTTCTGTTTACTTTAAAATGACACACTATTATTAAACAATATCACAAGTATTTTTAAATCAATTCCAAACTGATTTTTTTTTCAACTCAAAATTGTCTGGGAGCCATATGCCGTCACTGGAAGAGCCATATATGGCTCGCGAGCCATAGGTTCCCGACCGCTGACCTAGAGAGTGGAAGGCACACTGTTTATGATAATAACCAGATATTTTTACGCGCTAATTTTTGTTTTACTTATATGGATAGATTTAGGCAAAAGTAATTCGAGATGAACGTGGCTTTCAATGTCGTCTGCCGGACGAATCGCCCTTGAACAAGAACTTAGCCCAATGGGCTCTTACTCGGTGAGGAATAAACAAACTTCTGACTCTGAACATCTCTCTCTGTCTTAGGTCGGCAAAATTGCCGTTTACACAAAAAAACTCACAAATCTCTGTCCTCCGCTAATTTTACGCAGCTTGTGTAATTAAAGCAGTATTATGTTCCTTGCACATTACATAATGCTCATTATCGGATCATGTCATGTTTTATTTAACATTTCCTTAAAGTGGGAAATCTCAGCTTTAAACTCGAATGTGACCTTCACGTGGCAAGCATTTGCTCCAATTTTTTGCAATTTAGCGTTTAGCTTTTCTTGTGTGTGTGTGTGTACCAGGCTTTAGGTGCAGCATTACAAAGCGACAGCATAACCCAGGCGAGACCTCTCGACGATTGGGAACACATTGTGGGGATTTCAATTCCAATGTGCCGGTCCGCCGATGATAAAACGAAGTCGCAGAGTCTGGCGGGTAAGCGGCTAAGGGACCGTCCATAAATGACGTCACGCACCTAGGGGGGAGGGGGGTCAGACATTTGTGACGAGGGGGGGGGGGGTGATTGAGAAATGTGACGTCACATCAAAATGCGCAACTTTAAATAAATATATTATTGTTACAACACTAATTGTTATAACAACACGAATTGTTATAACACTCCTATAACATCAGAGTGCAGAGCCACATTACATACGCACTACAATGACAATAGTTTAAAGCGAATTGAAGCATGTTTTACTTTCAAAATGGAAATATGGTTTTGGGGGGGGGGGGGGTGGCAAAGCTTTGTGACGTCATATTTGAGGGGGGGGGGGTCTGACTTTTTGTGACGCCGTGTGACGAGGGGGGGGGGGGTCAAAAATCGTACAAAATCGCGTGACGTCATTTATGGACGGCCTCTAAACTGCGGGTAATCAGAGGGCAGCATTACGGCTCGCCGACGTTTTATTGCTTGGGCCACTGAACGCGCCACGCATCGTTGTTGTTTCTTCACGACAGCTTCCCACCCCCCTCCCTAGTTTGAGAGATGAACGCGTTGGGGGCCTCTGACCTCTGAAAAAAAAAGTTCGGCAGCGGCGGCAGCGGCTTTTATAGCGAACTCGGGACCAAGAAAAAAAATCTGCAGGTTTTTATTTAGTTGAATTTGTAAGACACCGAACCCCCACCGAGAAACGAAAACACGTTTCGCCTCCCCTCCCCCCACCGACCGAGCGGCCACCATGTATCAGGGAAAGTCTAAAGAGGCCGACGAACTTCCAGAAGATTAAAACAGACCCACCTCTTATTCTTGGTTCTTTCGGTAATGTCACGTAGAGGGGAAATAATAAAATAATATAAATATAAAACAATAAAAATTCTCACGACGTTTTCGACTGCAACACAAGCAATCATCATCAGGTGTGAAATCCACAGCAAGAAAATTTGTAAAACCGCCACTTTTTTCAAATTTTCTTGCTGTGGATTGTGTTGCAGTCGAAACGTCGTGAGAATGTATTGTTTTATATTATTTTATTATTTCCCCTCTACGTGATTTTACCGAAAGAACCAATAATATGAATCCCTGCAGTCACGAAAGCTTTAAGTCAAAATTTAGACCCACCTCTCTCTATGCCCACCCTCTCTCTCTCTATTTAAGGCCTCGACACAGAGGCATTGGGTCTCTGTCTATGTTGTGTCTCTGTCTCCGTGTCTGTGTTTTGTCTCTCGCTCAAATTTAGTTCTACCTGATGACGGTTGCTTGTGTTGCAATCGAAACGTCGTATTCTATTAAATTATTTTCTTTCTACGTGACTTTACCGAAAGAACCTAAGAGTAATTCCAGAAGATTTCTACACCCCCATTCCGCTCAATGTCAAGAGCCTGACCGCCCTGACAGTGCTGAGCCCCATTCCTGGCACCACAGACCCACCTGGGTGGCGTTCATGCTTTTCCTGGTCATCGCGGATTTCCCCACTTAATTTCCTCACCATCTTCCTCACCTTCAAGTACAAGAAGCTCCGCTCCCACCTCAACTACATTCTGGTCAACCTCGCCATCGCTAATCTCATCATCGTTTCCTTCGAGTCCACTTTTTCGTTCGATAGCTTCATCAATACATAATTTGTGTTGGGGCCCCCCTGTTCAGCGCAACTTTGGGAGGTAATGCGCGAGATTGACTTCGCGTCTGTGGCTTCTTTGCTCCGGGTGCAGCAAGTAGTCATGGGACTACACTTTACGTCGTCAACAGATGTCCATTTGTCTCCGCGCGTAAAGGGCATTTATCCGCTGTATTTATTGTCTTACGAAGATGGGCCATTGCCCGAAACGTCGTCGCATACTCGATAGATCAACTCGGCTTTCAGTGTGCACCTGAAGTGACGTTTCCATCAACTCCCATCACGTGCAACGCTTCTTAATAACGCACTTTTGCCCTTTTGCCTGTCTTAATAGGCGCTCGCCAACAGCAATTGACCCTAGCGACGTATATCGGCTGCGATTGCTTCTCTGATGAGTACGTTTGGCTACGTACGGTGCAAAAGAAGTTCAACATGCGTACGCACATTACACGTGACGTGAAAGATTACTTGAATGGTCAAATGTGATGCGGTTTTGGGTAAACCTGAAGTTTGAAAAACCAGGCCAGTCTACATAATACTGCCAGTACGCCCACTCAGTTTAATAACCATAGCTGCAGTCTACATTATAGACTGCCAGTACAATCACTCCGATTAAGAACCAGGCTAGTCTACATTCAAGTTTTTTGAAATCATTTTTATTCACTTTTTAAAATTATTTTTCTATCTACGTGACTTTATCGAAAGAACCAAATAATTTGAAAAACCAATGCAGTCAATTTTGCTTTAGAGCCAAAGGTTCTTATAAAATACATTCTAGCCACAACGTAAGTGCACAGCCATCAAGGTTTTTTATTATTAAACTAGCGTTAAGTACCCGGCGTTGCTCGGGCGAAAAAGGCAGACACACACATGGACTTACACACAAACATTGACACACACACATAGAAACACATAGACTTAGACGCACACACACACATATATGGTTAAACCCAGGATGGATTGTTAGCAGGCCAGACTAAATGTTTCTAACCGGCGAAGATGTTCCATTAGGGGGGTGCACGTTTCGCAAGCGTAGAGAAGGGAGGGAATTACCGTGGCCGAGAAGACCTGGAGCTTCATGCGGAGCGAGAGACCAGGTAGCTTCCACACAGCCTAACGCATGCGATGAAAATATAATGGCGCTCGACTGATTTAGAGTGAGACCTCTGCTGTTAAACCGGAGCCGGTCATGAGCACACTGGTCAGGTATGAGAAACTCTCCACTCTCTCCACAACTGCTGCATCATCAATTGTGAATTGTGGGGGTGGATTGTTCGATGGTATAAAATACCTGCAATTCTCAGAATATTAAATATTAACTTTTGAAACCACTCGCGTGGATCTGTATCACCGTCTGCTTCGTAAATGTGGATTCTAAAACATTTCCGGCACAGTAGTAAACCTCAGCATAATACTACTCTGAAAAAAAAAATGTAGATCCATCAGCTCCAACCCTATAACAGGACCCGAAACATTCATAGGCTGTTCTAGACAATCATCCGATGCCTGACGCTAATGACGCCGGTTAGCAAAAAAAATAATGCACAAGTGGCACTGCAGCATGATTAAAAGCAAACCCAAACATTTGCTTGAATTGTTTAATGTGAACTTAGTCAAAGTACACCCGCCCCCCCCCCACCTCCCAAAAGATGCACAACTTTCATATAATAATTTATTTACAAAAATCCCATTCTTGTCAATCAGTGGACACCAAACTTCCACCAAAAGCCTCCAACTGTGAATGCCAACGCACTGCTTTAGCCAACGATGTGTGCTGTCGTTCATTTTCTAACCACTCTGTTGCCACACTGAATACACGATGTCCCATGGAGAAGGCTGTATGAAGCAAAACAAATTCCAGAAGTCAACCCGCGGGGCGACATTACGGCGAGACTTTCAGGCTAACAATGTGTTTAAACACGTAGGCTTTCGCGACCAAATATCATCCATAATAGTATTATGGATAACAAGGTTTGCTGCACACTATACACAAGCATAGCCAGCACTCCTACAAAGTCTCAAATGCGATGAGCACAGAGAGCAAACGAAGAATTCGATGTTATTTACAACGGAAACATCTAGCGGCTTTAATTAACAAAAAACATTTCTCTGAAAAGATAAACTGTATAAAGTGTACTTTAAATAAAGTTTACACGATTGGAATTACCGGTAAATATATCAAATACTAAATATAAAACGACTTTATGAAGGTGTATTAAATAATATCAATGAAAACCCCGAATTAAAAGGAGTTAAATAAAACTGTATGATGCTGCTGCAATGTTAAAATACAATGTTTGTATGTAATAACGCTAACATTTGATATTTAATCTTAAATTTAAGAGCACGTGGCAGGGGATAATAACATGTCATTGCTGGCCAACTACACACAACTGATCTGTACACTTATCTTACCAAAGCTACGCAATTACATTTAAAAAATACATTACTTTGTTGCATTTTTCACAATTATTTACCCAACTTTTTTTTTCTATCCGCGTCATGCCATGACAGAAGATTTTTCTGTTCGAAGTCCTCGCAGAACCCAATGGCATGAGCCCCATGGTGAGAGGACTGCCCTCCGGAAGGGTGGCAGCACAGAGCCGAGGTCCTTTATTCTGCCAATTAGGTGGTGGCACCTTCCAAACACCTCTTGAGGGACGTGATAAAAACATTTTCGAGTATTCCGAGACGCAATAGACTAGAAGTTCTCATAAATAAGCAACACATGCTTATATTACAGTGGTGGGAGATAAAGGTGGACAACTTCTGATATAACCACACTATAAATATAAGCGCAGCTTACTTCTACTGCACTACAAATTAACTGAACTCATTTTAATACCAGATGCGCGAGGAACTACAGAAAAGCGAGAGGGAAGATACGTTCGGAGAGCCGGCACCAACTATTGCCCAACTTCTGTGGTTCTCTATATATTAAGGTGATTTCTTGAGAACAAGTGTTTATACGTGTGGGAGGAAACCGGAGCACCCGGAGAATACCCACACGTGCGAGGGGGGTCTGTAGCAACACTATCCCCTGTAGATGGTAACAGATGGACATTAATCCACTTGCTGCTCCTGGCAGGCCTAGGTGTTGCAGCCTCGACGCCCACGGAGTCTCACAACATTTGTGCGATCCAAAATCGCCTCCACAGTGCTGGATTGGAGATGTACAACGACCATCAACTTGTCACACTTCAGTACTCGGCTGAGTAGGTGGCTAGAACTTGTGTCAAGTCCAGAATGTCACAAGTGCTGGCTCGGTGCAGACATGACTTTAGCCTCCTGAACCATCTAGCGACCTGCATAAGGAGCAACGTTGAGATTGCAAACAGATAAAATGAAACTGAATGTGTTTTTGCTTTCATGATAGTAAATCTAATTATAACACCCATCATATTAATGTAGCTTTGCATTAACTACTTTTGCTTAATCCTGGGCAGATTTACTACATAAATGTAAAATATTCCTAAATCTACACTTCACATCAACGTGCAATTTAGATGAACGCTGTCGTTTCTACGTTTTGTTAATCATATTTAGTTAGCACCACAAGCCTAGTAATGCAGCTCAATGAAATGTGGTAGCTTAAAAAAACGACCATTGCAGGAACGTCCAAACTGCTTTGGCTAAGCCAGCAAGTCATTCCGCAACGTCACAACTAGCTGTGGAAACATTTTAGTTAAGCGAAGGCTAAAGAAAACTCAAAAAAATGTTTTAGCCTGTAGGGTTGAGAAATTTAAAACAGATGAAAACAAGTGGCGGGTAGCACACATTTGCTATATGCCATTGATCCACCCACACTGTATATCTAGTGAAAAAAGCTTCATAGCTCATCGAATTCCCCCAGTCAAAATAACGCTTCTGATTGAATGTTCTTGTTGTCATTATAGTGCTTAAATGACTCAGTAAGTCAAAGCAACTTACATCTCTTCTCAACTCAACCATTCCATTATAGCAGTCAAGCCTAGAGGACAGCTAGTGGCCATTGTCGCTACATAGAACAAGCCATAAATCAGCGCCAGCCTGCAAATTGGTATCGTCTGCCAGCAGGAAGTATATGTTAATGTGATTTTTTCCGAAGTTATTTGCAGGTATTTTCTACTTTCAAATTTTGACAGTGATTGCAGCACGCATGGCTTAACTCTATTTTGAATAAGATCACGTGATTTTAACGCCCACTGTGAAGCAGACAGCACACGCATCTTTGGTGAATACATCCAAGCGCTCAACCAATTGCCAACCGGGGCTTAAACAACCTCTGCAAGTTGCAGCAAATGTGAAATGAGAATTCACTGTACATTCATGTCTACAGCTATTAAACAAAGTTAAATTACGATTCGCGGCATCTGTAGCAAAGCTGCGTCAGCCACTGGAATCAACATTTAGCTCCTGCACTTGGTCGACAACATGTACTGCTTTTTGTTACCAACTTTAGCCTGAATTGGTAGCAGGGGACAAAGAATGTTTTACGGGGGTGATAAAAAAAGTCCACTATGTGACAGAGATTGCTGCTTCAACAAAGGACGAATATTCCTTTAGAAGTACGCGACTTATAAATGGTTAACAAATGTTAAACTGATATATTAACTATTATAGATTATTTTTTTTATTCTAAACTGAAACATGTAGCATAAAAAAATCCAAGAGAAATCTAGATAAAATACTAAAACTTTGAAATGGATCCCACCACAATTTCCTCCAGGCTACCAGCACATGCTTTGACGGTTAAATAACCACTTGTGAAGCTGCGTTGCAAACAATTAGGAACACGACGGTTCATTTGGGTGGGAATTAAAATCGTGCATTACAGATGACCGATGTCCAATGCAATTCAAGGGGGCTATTCAGGTCACTACTAAAGCCATGGGAATTGTCTGTGACCCCACGTAATTCAATGACTGTTGCAAAAGTCCAGTAAGCATCCATTTACTAAAAATGTTAAACAAATATCCGTGTAATTGCTTGAATGGAAACGTTCGGTTCAAATACAATATGAAAGTGAACATATAAATTGTAAAATTTTAAGTCCAAAAACATTTTACAAATAATACAATTATCCCCCCTCGAAAGACTAATTTGTCAATTGTGTACCCTAGGATGAATCATTTTGATAGCATATTTATGTTTCAAATAATTATATGCTTAAATAAGCACGAAAACCATGTAGTTTAGCACAACTAACAAATCTGCCTTGAATGCCTTTGCTGTGATTGCAAACAATGCACAATGAAGAAAAGCAGAGGGGAAAAGCATCTAATACAATTACTATTTTATAACACTCATAATTTATACCACTGGCATTATGAACAAGAGGGGAAAAATATATGCTTGCTTATTTTCAATTATTTAATTCAACTACACCAACAATTTCTGAGTCTCTTTAAACGTTGTTGAGATAGCGATTTCCCACTATAGTTCTGTGCACAATAAGCCAAAGGACACACACCACTTGAGTAGGCATAACGTGCCACGTAACATAATATGTCAATCCCCCTTCCCGCACCTCTGATTAGCACGGTTTACTACATGCGGTGCGAAAGACATTAAACATACATACATTTTGCTAACATTTTCAAACAGTGGTCTAAATAACAGTTGACCCATTATCTGTGATGTGTTGCACCAAACTACACATTGTTTCCGTGTCGGCTGGTGGTCAGTAAATCAATCAATTTCTAATTACACCACAAGGCAGAGGGCCCACTGCTGATGTAGACACTTGCACGTTTGCTTGACTTCTGGACTACAGCAGGAGCAAATGCTTCACGCTACTGTGGCACAGTATGGTGCAAAACAATACTATGCATACTCTTTGGTTCTTTTGGTAAAGTTACGTAGGTAAACATTTTAATTAAATAAATCACGTTTCGATCGCAAAACAAGAAGTCATCCTCAGGCGTAAAAAATATAATCCAGTAGTTGGCTGCTTGTGTTGCGATCGAAACGTCGTGATTTATTTTATTTTATACCTACGTGACTTTACCGAAAGAACCAAAGAGTATGGATTCCTGTAGTCACGAAAGCTTCAAATCAATACTATGCATGGTACATTTACATTTCATAAAAATTACTTTGGAAGAATATTTGGTAAAATAAAAGTTGCAAATGGAGACAGATGGCAGACCTTGAGATAATTAACTAAATTACGTCTCAACCAATTGGGTTTTAAGTGTCATTCCACTTAATTAAAATTTTTGCTTTGAGATCTCTACATAAGCTGCCAAACCAGGCAAAAACCTGCCTAACTCAGATGCTAACCACTATATTCTCCATGATAAAATTCTACTTTTGATGGTGGAACACAATTCTAAACTTTGAAACTTTTTATAAAAAGACTGGCATCTGTAATGATACACAAACGTAAACATCGAGAGCTAATACAACAAAATACAAAGGTGATCCTTGCTTAAAAAGGGCCACACATTGGAAAGCTACTTTTATCGAAACACTCTTTATATACACACACACACTAGCTTGGCTATCACAAACCCTAGTGATAAAACGGTGAAAAAATGAAAAGAGCTTTTTCACTTTTATACGATTTTACAAAAATAAACTTTGAATGGTATTACTTGGAAAGTGATGTATAACAGCAAAATATGCATTTTAATCTACAATTTACTTTTTTACATTAACATTTTTTTGCGTCTGATGGTTTGACGTCAACCTTGATTTCACGTCAACAAAGAAGGTCGCCATATCACGCTGGTTCATAGGTAGAAGTGCAGTGGAGGAAACGAGTGAAGGATTCCATTGCTGAAAACACTTTAATTTTCGCACCGATGAAAACAGCTGTTGGGGTAAAAGGAGACAAAGTGTATGTCAGTGTTATGCAAGGTAAAGAGATATGCAACCCAAACAACATATCTGTTTCGATTTAAAGCTTTCGTGACTGCAGGGATTCATCTTCTTGGTTCTTTCGGTAAAGACAGACCTGTTCTTCACCTGAGGATGGCTGCTTGCATTGTGGCCGAAACGTCGTGAGAATTATTTTATGTTTTATTTTTATTATTTCCCTTCTACGTGACTTTACCGAAAGAACCAAGAAGATGTTAAAACATTTTTTTAAGCACCCTTTATTGTGACCACCCAGGTTTAACCTACAACCAGATGTGATGAGACTGGGTGCATTCTGGATAATTTGCAATGCAAATGGTAGCTTTCTGAAATGTTTTGGGAAAGGAAACATAGGTATATGAAAGCACAAGAAGAACCCCTAGGCTAAAATACCATCAAGCAGCTCTTGAGCAAAAGCCTTCAACTCAACTACTCACGACTGTGAACAAGTCTAATGCACGGTTAATAAAGTTATAGCGCCATGCGTGATACGTACATGGGTGTGTCCAGCCGACGTCTATCCGTCCTCTTCCTCCTCCTCTTCCCCTGGATTATCATTGTCTGCCGCGCCATCATCTTCATCGAAGTCATCGTCGTCGTCTTCGTCGTCATCGTCGTCGTCATCGTCTCCCTCCAGCACTTCCACATGACCCTCGTCTCCTTTGTCATCATCGTCTAAAGAGACACAAGTGATCATTTTTAGAGGAGCACAATTATTGCGTTGTTTTTAAGGGTTGTGCTGTGCAGCTCTCCCGATCTTTTTGAGTTGCACTGCGCGTCGTTCGGCATGATGTCTGACGCACAACCCGAAACACGCTTCGGAGAGGAACGTCATTGCTTCATCTCTATCAAAAGGATATATGCCTTTTTATCAAACATGCTGAGAAGATGGAAGCAATCAAATGATATACATCAGGGATGAATGGATATAACCATTTGCCTCCCCATCATAGTTTTGATGAATTGTCATGATTCGTAGTTGAAATTTTATTAATGAACTATGTTTTTAACATAATGAATGTAGCAGCCTCTAGTGGCTGGAGGGGCCATGTTAACCCTTATTGTATATTTGTAATTTTTGGACTTGTAAGAAAACGCATTGAACAGTGATATAGTAAAACCATATTGGGGTAATAAAAGCCTTAAGAGTTAGTCAATCGCTTAATACTCTTGTTATATGCCATCATAATCAACATGATCATTTACATACCATTATTGAATTTCTGGTGGAATAAAGTTCTGGTTACTTCTTGTTCAACAGAATGTGTCCAGGCACAAGGCAAATAGTGAAAGACATAACATTCAATGTAATTACTTTGCTTTTGATTATGCTTGTTTTACCCAGAAAAAAGCCTCACTGGGTTTCACACCTTTTTCAGGAGGGTCATGCCAAGTTTTTGGAGTTGCCAGCAAAGTTGCTACGTGTAATTACAATTGAGTAATTTGCAGGTAATATTTTACTTGGGTGTTTGGCCAAAACCAGTTACAGTGCATGAATTGTTTTGCTATGGGAAGAAAATAAAACACCAAGAGGAAATCCATGCATAACACAGGGGGAGAATATACAAATTCCACACAAATGCACCCAAGCAGGGAATCGAACTCAAGACCTTCTTGTCAAAGCACAAGTGTTCCAACTCTGCCACCCTGCTGCCCTCTTCACACATGTATGTAAATGCTGCAGATAAAAACATACTTTGAGAATATGACTCTCACCTTCAATGAGCACTTCCCCATCATCTTCAACATCTTCAAACTCCAGGGCATCATCTGCTCACACAAGACACAGAAGACCAACTTCTATATTAAACTTCCTGAGTATAAGGCTACATTTATGACACATTTGATCAGGTTAACTATTCAGCCCATCACCCTCCTGCGGTTCGTTAAAGGAGTACTACTTTACAGTCAACAGTGGTTGTACCTGGAGACAGAACTGGCCCTTACCATTGGAATGTGGAATTTCCACCAATGGCTCAGAGCTACTAAAGGAGATGAGCACTACTCTTCGGTTCTTTCAGTAAAGTCACGTAGGTATAAAATAAAATTAATTAAATCACGACGTTTCGGGCGCAACACAAGCGTCCGTCATCAGGTGGGACAACCACAGCAATTGTTGCCATGATTTAATTTATTTTCTACCCACGTGACTTTACCGAAAGAACCAAAGAGTATGGATGCCTGCAGTCACGAAAACTTCAAATCTAGATTGAGATGAGCACTGCCCAATGCTCACTTGGGAGGCAGGCACTTTTGTCTTTGATTTTTCCTTTTAAAGATATCAGAAGCAGATGCATAAAACTCGCTGCTCAAGCACTTACATAAAAAATTATGAATGTCCAATGTAAAATAACACACCCATCACTGTCTGGTGCATTTGTAATGGGTTCTGGAGACGCTTGTAGAGGTAACTTCTTTATTACAATCCAACACTCCAACAGTCCTGATACTCTGTTACAGCCTAGGTACACAGCCTAGATACACTACTCTGGCTACGCTCTGGAACTCGCCCTCACAAGGACGTAGAGCCGGGAGTTCCAGAGTCCCACCACTGGCCCTCACATCATCCCAGGGTCCTGAGATGGCTGGTCTTGGGTCTTGAGCTACAACTGGCCTAGATCGTCCAGGGAGCTGCGCTTTTATGCCTCGTCCCCAACGAGGGGTGGGGTTGTGTGCGCCCCCAGATATCCCACAGAGCACACACAGCCCCCCCCCCGTTGGTGGCGCCAAGGGGCTTAAGCGTCTGGGTTGCCTAGGGTCCCAGAGCCCCCAGCAGCCCCTCCCCTCTTATGTCACTATACATTGATTTAATCTGTGAAGTTGCCTGTGCATGTCGGTGCTTAGTTTAGTTGGTTCAACAAGAGCCTTGCCTTGCCGCTTGTAACTACAGGCACAAGAGAGTGACTTTTCGGGCTTCGGCTTACCGTCATCATCATCAATCTCTTGCACGTCACCATCGCTGTCATCATCGTCGTCGTCGTCATCCTCATCGTCAATTATCACCACCGAGTCATCCACCGTCCCCTCTTCACTGAAAGGGAAAATATTTGCACCATCGTGACCATGTGAAAGCGAGTGTAGTGGTGAATGTTGCTTTTTTGTCAAGTTCACGGAACATTTACCGACAAACATTAACTTGTATGCATGCACGAGTTGATGATAATGAGTTACTTATCCAAGGAAGCCCCACCGACACTCAATAACCCTCTATAAAGTGTCATGCATTGAGGTAGTTAATCAATTTTTTTTGTATTTTTTTCCCAATTATATTTTAACTGTGCTCATTAGCATTGTGTTATGTTTCATTGTCTTATTGTTGTGGTCGAATGATTAGCCAAAATGTATGACTTTTGTGGCCATAGTCATTGAATGAGCACCTGCAGATGACATGCTTTACAACGTAATTCGCTATGTATTGAACAGTGCTCACCTTTCGCTGTCAAGGCCATTCTCTCCATCATTGTCGGGCAAAAGGTAATATTGAAGGGGATTGGGCCACATGTCGTCCTTAAGAACCTGCCAGCAGAACACACACCGCCAAGGCCTCAATGCACGCTTTAAAATTAAATCTTACTCAGCCTACCAGGTGACAACCTGGGTATTGCTGAATTGTGATCAGGTGCACAAATAACATTGGATGAGATGGACATTGATAAATAAAACATGATTCACTATGCTATTATTGTTTTTTTAATGGAGGATTGGACACACACACAAACACAAGTACTGCAAAAAAACTGCAATGGCAGACAAAGCACTCTCTATTAAATGGCAAATGTTTATAGAAATTCACAACAATTATTTTTCAAGTTTCTCCAAAATTGAAGGTGTCACTGTTAATGGAGCTTTAAGACAATCGACCTGCAATCTATCTCCAGAAGAAGCACCATTGCCCAAAATATAATATTGTAAAATGTTTATGACACATAGCAGTTCTAATGATATGTAGTCTGGTCTCTTTAATTTGTACTTCACAAAGATGGATGTACAGGAAAACCTTGGATTGCGAGCATAATTCGTTCGGGAAACGTGTTTGTAATCCAAAGCACTCGTATATCAGTTGTGATCACGTGACGCTCGGCAGACAAAGCGTATACACGTACTACTCGTATTGCAAGACCTCGCTCGTTCATCAAATTAATATTTATTAAAAAAAATTGCTCGTCTTGCAAAACACTCACAGACCAAGTTTACTCGCAATCCAAGGTTTTACTGTCATTTCTGAATGTCACTGGGTCCACATAGTGATAAAGCAATCTTGTTTTTGGGATAAACGGCGCTTCATTATGGCCAAGGAGTTTCACTGGAAAGGATTTGATCAGATCTATTATTTCAAGAAACAGCATCTCATATTTTTTTACATAATCTATATTTGCAAATGTTTTACTCTAACATACATATTAACTGTGTAGCAGTATAAAAACATGAAAAATAAAAAATAAATCTGTGAGCTGTGCCCGTAAAAAAAAATTACGCGTCGTTTTAAAACAATATTAAACGCATAGTGAGTGTTTTGTTTATAGCTTTAATAAATAAATATTTACACGTGTGCCTACATGCAAATGTGTTTTTTTTATACACTCAAAACTATTCACAGGTTGTGGTTATCTTCCTAGTAAAGACCCCCGACTGTAAATGGAAAGCGGTTTTCCTGCAGTTGTTTCGCATGCAATTAGACTGCCCTCTATGGACGCTACATATTATTGAGAATTACACACTACTACGAGATCTGGAGGACTTTTTCAGGAGTGTTTTCCATATGCGAGGAAGTCCCAGGGGAAAACACCCCCACACATACCATACAAAGAGACGATTACTCATTATACTGCATAGATGGCTTCACGAACCCACTTGCTGTGCTGCCACATATTGGCCACCTCATACCGCCCGTGGAACTTAAGCGTTGCGCAGAAAGTTCTGTCCACTCTTGCCTCTGAAGCGCTGCAACTGCACACACGTTCCAAGACGCACGTCACCCACGGTGTCCATAGGCCACAATTCCTACCTCTGCGACCTCGTCCGAGGTCGGGTCATTGTGGTCACCGAACCACATGAAGAAGCTGCTGTGTCCGCGCTTACGGCCCTTGGTGTCAGCCGGAGGGTGCTGGCGTGTCAGTTCCATGCCCGCCTTCCACCGGATAGGCGTGCTCTGCGACACCGGCTTGCCTGTAGTGCCACGCGACATTCACGGTGAGCCAAGGTAGGGATCATGTCGCCCTCCACTAACTTCACGGTTACTCAATGTAATTTGGAAAACGAATGATGCGTTCATTCAGATCGATTTTTATACTCGCCGACACACGTAAATGTATACATGTCACTGCAAGCTCTTGGTCGACAGCTAAGGACACCAATTTCGGTGCCTCTACAAGAGCTGCATCTTTCTGGATGGTGCATTATTTTTAAAATTAATCTTTTAAACTTCAAATTAATGTCAAAAAGCCATAGATTTATAGCACCGTTATTTCTAAAATAGAAATTACTTATTTGAGGGTTACCCCTTTATCAAATATATTTAACTCACCTGCTCTTTGGTTCTTTTGGTAAAGTCATGTAGTTAGAAATAAAATAAAACAAATCACGACGTTTCGATCGCAACACAAGCGGTCGTCATCGTGATTTGTTTTATTTTATTTCTAACTACGTGACTTTACCGAAAGAACCAAAGAGTATGGATTCCTGCAGTCACGAAAGCTTCAAATCAAGATTGAACTCACCTGCTCGCAAATGTACTCTGCATCCTTATGCTGACTAATATATTGCCTAGAATGGTCTATGACTTAGCAAGGAACTTTCTTGAAGAAACTTTAAAATAGCTTTAAGCACCATCTTGTTAATGACGAAAATGTACAAGGAAAAAACATGCTTATTTTGTGGTGTTACAACTAGCTCAAAGGTACAGGCAGGAGTGCGTCGTGCTGATTGTGCACATTTTCTATTACTTTTACACAGCCTTTCATTCATGTCCACAGCATATGGAATCAAGGTGACCAACCTCACCGCCAGATATTGGTGTGGTGAATGGGGTGGAGTGGTGGCGTAGTGGTTAACGCACTGCGCCATGAAACTGGCGAGGGATACGTGAATCAGTCCTTGGCCCTCCCATTCACCAACCCTGCACTGACCAATGTGGTGAAGTATGGTCAAACCAACCTCTGTTCGAGCTCTCATAGATATGCCTTATAGTCAGCAGTGACTTGACAAAGGGTTGTAAAATACATCAAATTCTGCCAGCTGCATAACAGTAATGCTTGGTAAATACAATCTGATTTAATAAAAAAGGATTTTAATGAAAATGTAGCTAAATATGGCAGTTAAATGAGAAAACTGTCAAAACATTTGATGTAAGTAAACCTGAACTTGCCTGCTGATCCAAGGTGGAACTCTTTTGTGACGATGTCATTTTCAAAGTAAGGGTTTTCAGCAAAGTGTAATTTTATCCTGTATCCAGACTTGATATCCTCAAACTCCTCCACCTGAAAAAGGTTGAGAACTGCATTACCCTCACCTTCTCAAAACAGCATTAAGACAAGGGTCTGTATGATCTCCAGAAATCACTTAACATTAAAGCTCATTAGCCAACAGCCATTCTGGACCATGTTTTTCCAACAGCATTTGTTAAAATTTTCTGAGTCTCATCAGTAAAGTTTGGCCAGAAAAGCAACATTTGCTGAGTTACCAAGGCGTTATAGGGACGCAATCATGGGTTGCTTTTAGTATTTGTGTATCAGGCCATACCCTGGGACTTTTTTTCCAGGATCAAAGTACAGTATAAAAAAATGATAGATTTAACCCTTGTCTGGCAATAAAACAGGTTTTAAGATGTTCAAACACTAAATAGAAACCTTTTGCAAGGAATCATGTCTGCATTAACCACACGTACTTGTGGTGAACATGCCAAAAAACAAACATGCTCTGATAATATGTGCATTGTCCTTAAAGGCCCCAACAAAGAAGAGACAGCCTTATTTAGGGCCTCGTTTCATCAGTCTGTATCCAGACTTGATGTCTGGTGAAACTAGGACTTAAAGAAGGCTGTCTCTGGTGTACGCCAATCAGTTTCAAGGACAATGCACATATTATCAGAGCATGATTGTTTGCAAGTTTACCTTAAGTACGTGTTGTTAATGCAGACATGATTCCTTGCAAAAGGTTTCTGTTTGGTGTTTGAACATCTTAACACCTGTTTAATTGCCAGAAATGATAAAACCTATTCTTAGTTTTTCATAGGCCATACCCTGCTAATAAGACACGAAGTGAAAACCAGGCCAATTGGTTGGGAAGGCCGAATGGTTGATGCCATTTAATGTAATTTTAATTAAGTGACGAAACATTGGCACCCCGTGATGTATTATCTCATTACCCACAATACACCAATATAGCTCATGAGGATTTAAAATTACAATCATCTTAATAAAGTCACGTGCTTAAAATGGTGAAAACTTGGCAATTAGTGTTGCTAATTTTCATAATCTATAATACATTTTTCAGGGCTGCTAATCCATCCTTCTGAGCCCACACATGCACTGAACATTGACGTTGAAAGCAATACCCATCAGACAGGAAAAAGTACCTCAAGCTTCGTCATGTGATGGAAAGCCTCTTCATCAGTCTCATCGATCAATGGGGAGATCTGCGGGTGATTTAGAAACTTGGAAGAGTTAAGGAAGCTAAAAAGCAATGAAAATCCATGTTGAATTTAGTGCAACGTGTAATTACGACACCTATGGCATACATGCACAGCACTCGTGTCAATCTGCTTCTCGCCGAGGGTCCCATCACTGTTGGGGTTGTGGGGGGTTATTTGGCCACACTTCACCCTGCTGGTCAGTGTGAGTTGAAGGTAGGAAGCACACACAAATCGAAACAAATCATTTTGCTGCATTACCCTCTTGATTATTACAACATATCTCTTTGTCTTAACCATGTTCAATATATGCATCCATACAAAAGAAGCAGTGCTTTTGTCTCAGAGAATTGACCAAACAGGTGTATTGATCTAAGCAGTCAATGATTGAGCTTAATTAGTGTTAGCATCTTTGGCAAATGTGTCTGATGTTATCAAGTTTCAGTTTTATTAGTAAACTTTAAGGATAGCCAGTATAATATATAACTGCAGAATGAATCTCTAATATATTATGGCACAAATCCAGATTCACATTCAGCTCTACATGCAATGAAATAAACAAATACAATGTTTGTGAGCCATTCTTGATTTGAAGCAGGAAGACTGCTGTCGTAGGAGACTGCTATCCTCCTACGACAGCAGTCCACCTGCTGTTTGTTTCACACCTGACGACGGTTGCTTGTGTTGCGATCGAAACATCGTGATCTATTATTTTTTCTACCTACGTGACTTTACCGAAAGAACCAAAGAGTTTGTGAGCTATGTTCTAGAATGTTACAAACTCATCAGTCTGGATCACTTCCCAAGCCTCCAGAGCCAACACTTTTCACAATTTCATGGGATGTTTCTCCTAAAAATATCACTGCCAAGTGTAAATGACTTGTGGCTAAATGTCCGATGTTAAGGCAATTTAACTTGACAAGTGTGGTACTGAAAAGCAGACGTGAGTTCAATTTCAACTCAAGAGTCGGCTAAACACATCACCAATCCAGGGCCGATAAATTCCTTCTTTGAGGAAACCCACCTATAGTTGGTCTGTGAAATGACTTCGATAACCTCCCCCTCCACCAAGAATGGCAAATTTCCAACACTGGCTCAGGATTGTAAATGGAGATTTGTGCCACCCCTCACTCATTTGATTTGAGTGAGGGATACTTTGCAATGCTTGGCTGGCATGTATAAGCATACTTACAATACACTTCCCCTGCAAACAAAACGAACGTTAAAGGTCATTGAAGGATACGGCAGTGAGCCAGAAGTTGGGGATCTTGCGAATGAGCTCGCTCCGCTGCTCCAGGTGTGGCTTACGCAGGCGATTGTACTTCTGCTCCACGCGCAAGATCTCCTCGCTCGCCTGCTCGTTGAGAGCATCGATTTCATTCTGGCAGGCGTCGATCTCCTCCAGAGCCTTTTGCGTTTGACCCTATCGGATGGGGTACAAAGGGCGACCACAGTGGTGAGTGTGGTAGTGTGGTGCTCTTCACATACAGCCTTAAATTGTGGCGTGTCTGTAATTTATCGTTTTACCGTCTAATGCTGTATTTTGTCTCATCTGTACGGTTGATTTTTCCTTTTTAGAACCGTCTTATTGAACTGTTTTGTCTATTGTGTCTTTTGAGCGTCCACGTTGTACATATTGTCCCATTTTATCCGTCTCGTTCTCTCTCCAAAACATTGCTTGTCTCACTGTGTCACATCAGTCCAGGCTTTAACACAACATTTGCGTATCAATAATAATGTATCATTCTTGGGAATGTAAATCCATGCATGGGTTAAGAATACATTTTCATCATTGTATTAATGCATTGTTTTGACCCTAACAAAATGGGGATAAGCACCGCCCCAGGAACCTAGTTTAAATTGACATTTTGAGAGGGGCAAATGCTTTGCCAAGTGACACTTCACCTTACCTGTGTGCTGGAAGACATAATGGGTTCTTGAACAGCAGGGACAGGAGCCTGGGTGCTAGGGAGTGTGGTTGGGCTGCTGGGTGCAGTACTCTTGGCATCTGCGACTTCACCCTCATTGCTGGTGGCAGAAGTCAGGACCTTATCGGTTGGTCCCTGGAACAGTTAGGAATTGCAATCAGTTCATCAGTCAACAGGTGTTATCAATGTGTATAGCATTTCATCAGATTACATTAACAGCCTCAGCTATTGTTTGAAAAAAAAACTGCTTGACATGCATATCTTTCAAAGATGTTAATCTAAAGGAGAGGTTCTTTTCTCAAAACTCAGCAATGAAAAATGTGTAAGCTGAGTACACAATAAAAAAAAAGTGTTTTGACAAAGACATGCAAGTATTGCCCGTTTAAATAGAGGATATATTATGGCACACAAAAGTGTAAAAATATCTAAAATATACTAGGCACATTGCAGTACTTTGTAGTGCACTAAACGTTCTGAAAAAAAATTAAATACGTATGCTATTTGTGCATTTATAGTCGGAGAGAATAGCATTTTGTTTAGCCTTAAAACTAAAATTTCACATATTTCTTCATTTACGGTGCATATATGAAACAGTAATTTCAGATTTGATAATAAAATACAAGATGATTAATAATTGGGGTTATCAGTGACCCCACACATCACGCGGTAAGACCATGTACTCTGCGTTATCGTCACTTGTAGCACACCACAACATTTAAAGTTTTCCTGGAAAATATGTCACGGCTAATGATCTTCTAAGGCAAATAACTAAAAAAATATAACCGTACAATTTAACGTACATTTTGTGAAAAAGTAAAATAATACATATCCTCCACGCTCACCGCTACCCACCTCACCCCGTCTCATGCCACTCTAATCCCCTCTACACATCCTCTTCTCCGGCTACCACGGCTTTCAGTCAGACACCTCAGCCAACTTTCATTCAATGGGAGATAGCTCAATTCTCCTGTTGCTCCCATGGTCTGGGACTGTATTCCCGCACGTGTCCATGCTTTGCCACCTTCTGTTCATGCCTCGGCTTAAGACCTTCCTTTTTACCTCTGTCCATGACTGACTGCCTCTATAAAATATATCATTGTTTTGTATAGTGTCGTGAGGTGTGCACACATTTTGAGGCTATATACATCCAAAGTGAAATTATTTGATTAGGAAAAACATAACTAGATTGTCTGCCAACAAATCTAGAATATAATCAACAACATTTATATTCCTCCACATTAATGACTCAAAGTCATTAACAGATTCGTCGATTATATTGGGTTTTTACTTTTTGACAGTTACAAACACTTTGAGTAAATAATGCAGGCTTCCCTAAAATAACTTATGACAAAAATAAAATAACCTCTGTTTACACTGGACATACAGACAATTTCAATAACATCCGATGCTGTGTGTGATTGACGAATATTTAATTATTCATTTAGGTCAAGATAGGTTACTGATTGAGCCCAAGAGATAACGTTCGGAAAGTAATCTTTGTTGTAATTTGCCATTGATAAATTGTAGATTTTAATCTAAAATGAACAGCAATAAGTATAAGCCGTAAAAACAAAGTTTTTCACTCTAAATCCTTTATATGCGTGGCGGCTAGAGTCCTCTCGTCCTCTGGCTTGAGATGGCTGCCACCTATGGGTCAGATGATTGCAGTATTAAACAATTGGTAATTAAATATTTAATTTGTTTTCCCTAAACAGTGTAACATTTTGGAAAAAAAATTTCACGAACATTAATTGTCTCGCACAACGAGTCTGTGTGCAAAATGTCAGCTCGATTGGATCACGGGAAGTGGGTTAAAAAACGACCAAAAGGTTTGCACGGTCGTAAGCAAGCAAGCAAGCACGCAAGCACGCGAACTTAATATAAAGGATTTAAAAAGGAAGGATACAGCCATTACATATATGCAGAAAGCAAGTTCATATGACAAAGGTATTAAAAGGTGCATCTCCAATTTTTTTTATTGTCATTGAAGATCTTGTGCATTAATATGGTGATAAAGTGTATATCAATAAACCCAAACTACAAAAATACAGTTAGTGCAGATGTCAAATTTTCACTGACATTTAAAAACTGTACTCTATATTTCAGATAACGTGGGTACTTACACAGATACATAATACAAGAATATTATAGCAAGAAATGCATCTGCAATTTAAGTTCCATTAGTAATAAAATGTATTCCAAGTGGCACTGCAACACCATCACATACAATACACCTCCGATTAGCACAGTTGGCTACGTACGGATGTGAAAAAGGTTCAACATACATACAGACAACATACTCTTATATCGCAATAAATAATTCATTGGTGATGAAGGCTTGCCCATGCTGTATGGGGCTGTGGAGGTTACTTGATCATACTACACCACCATGGTCAGTGCAAGTTGGTGAAAGTGGGGAGCATATATGCACAGTAATACAATGACCTCTATGGCCTACCACTGAGCCACATACATTTTACTATTTACGATTTGTATAAGCAGCGAGGGGGGGGGGAGATCTAGTAACACTCGAGATTGATGTGAGCCGTGGCTATAAATACAAACTTAAGTTAATATTATGGCACACAAACCACAGTGCTACCGTTCCACCACATTACAATATAATTCTTATCACCTTTGTGTGCTGCATACACCATGTTCATTTTGCAAAGATTTAAAGTGTGGCTATATATTGAAACTGTCTTTTAATAACAGACAAACCAGTTCTGATGAAATCACAACTATAGTCAACAGCAAGCCCAAACCAAATTACAGTGATGAGGCATTTGTATCTGAGAGAAGATTATGAGGGCAACTGATGCACATTGCAGCTCACAACCAGTCTTGGCAAACAATGCCAAAAGATGCAGAATTGATTCGCGTGACAAGTCATCAGTGTCTCGAGTTGACCAGGTGACTGAGAGGTCAGAGCGCTGAGCTGACATCACTGAGATCTTGGATTTGAATGTTGATAGCTGCCTGTAATTAAAATGGGTGTTCAATTGTGCAGGGTATGGTGTGAGGCCAGTTAGCAATAACTGAACAAAATAACCCATCACATTAAATTAAAATGTGTTCATGAAAAATGATCGGCCAAACCGTCATGTGACAAACATTACTCTCTGAAGCAGAGCAGGTGGCAAATTGCTGCACATTAATGGATCAGAAGTCCCTTGAAGAGATCTCCATGGCAGTCTTGTGATATCTCCTTCAAAGGGGTTAGATTACTTCGTGACATATCCGAATGGATTCATCTCATATGATGCCGAGAGAAAAACATGCCTGTGAAAACCTTATTTTTAAAGCGTAATGGAGCCTAACCGATTCATTGAATAGATGGTCACATAGTTGAATAAAAAAACAAAGTAGAAAAGGGTCCAAATCAATAATTGTTCAAAAAAGTAATGGGGCATAGCAACCATACCCCAAAGCCAGTGGTGGACAATCGACATTCCCATAGCAGGGGCCAAAAACAATACACTACTTGGTTAAAATCAAGTTCATTGGTCGACGCCGGGATCTGTAGGGTTGATATACCACTTCGTTGGAAGGCTGAAGCTGTCATGAGATAGCGGTTATGACTTTCAAATAACTTTGGTGGGTCAAACATGAACACACCTGAGCATTTTCCAAAAATAACCAGAAAAATACCAAAGGAATGCATCTACTGGGAATAAAAAAGGACCATATTTACTGCACGTGCTACGATTAGAAAAAAAACTGTCCTGTCACATCGAAAATATTCCTCTATAGGAGACGATTAGTGCCGCTAAGAAACTTGCAGTTCTGGATAAATATCATTTGCTGGGAGTTTTAAAAGTGGTAGGCCTGGGGTATGGACGCGGATTGTATGAAATTATGTGGGGGCCTTAGGTCCATACCACTATCAACATATCACGTCCGGCCATAGGAATATGGAATTTCCGACCGCCATAGTAATGTGGAATTTCCAAATTAGCTCTGAGACGCTGACAGGAATGAGAGCAGTCCCGCTGCTTTTTTTTCTCCAATCGTGGATACTATTTTTATTTTAACAGGTAAGGCCACTGAGCTATAGAGCTATTTATCAGAAACGACCTGGCTATCAGCAAATGATAAGCTCACAAAGTAGCTTATGTGTGGAAATTTAAAGCAGCCAAATACTCTAAACGCATGTTTCTAAATGCGCAACCAGGCAGAGAACGTGACATTTGCAAATATACAGGTGTCGTGGGGTCGAACCCATGGACTCCTGTACAACAGGCGAGGTCATTAACATCTCGAATGTTGACAATTAAAACTTCTAGAAATAGAGAGAAAATAACACAAGTTAACAAGGAAAAAATCTTACTCAAATGTGCGCTAAGGAAGCGCGGACAAATGCATGCTCCGAATAACATCCAAAGACATGAATGGGGACCACGTGGATTAGACAACACGCACGTGTTGATGACATCCTTCAATTTCGATTTAAAGCTTTCGTGACTGCAGGGATTCATCTTCTTGGTTCTTTCGGTAAAGTCACGTAGAAGGGAAGTAATAAAATAAGAAAAATAAAACATAATAAAATAATATTTTATTTTTATTATTTTATTACTTCCCTTCTACGTGACTTTACCGAAAGAACCAAGAAGATGACATCCTTCAAACTAATAAGAAACGAGAGTGTGGGCTTGGGCAACACGGCATACGACACGACACTAGAAGGAGATTGCAAGCTCGTGGATCCGACGGTTAAAAAATAAAAATTAGAACATCAACCGCGGGAGATGATGGAGCGATTAAGTAATCTCGCGTGCAGGTACTTGAGGGAGATTGTCAGTCAACATCGCAGAACTTGCGACGGCTTTTGAGATGACGGGGGGTGGTGGTGGTGGTGGATGGAGGCCCTCATCCAGCAGTGGAATGATCGTGATCAATGCTGCTGACGATGAGCGAACAAGGCAAACCAACACGTGGGTGGAGGGTAACCCACCGTACTTTTTTAACTTACCCCCCTATCCCAACGCAACACATACAAGACGCACTGTTAGTGACCAACAAAGGCGGCGATCGTGGGGCCTACACGTGTGAGTGGCCATCCGACGTAGCCCGCCCGCCCGCACGCCCGACTCTACGTCCACTCGGGGTGGGTGGTGGTAATTATCATTCATAGATTTGAAGATAACGGGGGCAGAGAGAAATAAACTCATCCACTCACGTTGTCTCCCTCGCCGCCTCCTGTTCCCGCCTCCGTCCTGCGCACCTTGGCAGGCGGGCCCTGCTGCAATGCCGCCTCGCTCATCTTCCTCCTCAAGCCTCCTCTTATAAACGATCACTTTTACTTGTTTTTTGTAATTTTTCTTTCAAAAACCACCTTCTTCCCACACGAACACACCGCGTCCACGCACCCAGTGTTTTTTCTCTCACTTATTTATGTGGTGGGGGGTCGGGGAATTGTCACGAACGGCTTTAATAATAATAATTAAAACGATGTGTTTAAACGAGCTCCAGTCGAGTTGCGACAGCGAGGCCTCTCGACCGAGGGCGGCCAAACTTTCTTCCTGCTGGCGAGCGCGCGCCTCCCGTTTCGTAACGCCGCTTCCTATTGGTCGAGGCGACGCCGAACCACTGACTCCTCCCCCACCCGCCCGACGGACCAATGGGAGGCGCGCGCGCGCTCTCTCTCTCCATCTCATGCCTTGGCGCGCTTTTGGTTGTTATACACTTGATTGTTCTATTTTAGCTCCGCCCACCCACCCCCCAATACGTTCCATTCATTGGCTAGCACATTCAGATAAGCCCCTCCCCCCTCCCCCCTTGACTTGTATTTAAGAGCTTGTCTCTTGGAATTTTGCCTCACTTGAGACAGTAAATTTTAGCTGTGACGGTCCCACCTGATGACGGAGACTTGTGTTGCCTCCGAAACGTCGTGATTTATTATTTTATTTCTATTATTATTATTTCTATTATTTTTATTATTTATTTTTACCTACGTGACTTTACCGAAAAAACCTAAGAGTATGAATCATTGCAGTCACGAAAGCTTTAACCGTATGCTTTTGCATTGAGGCCCCATTGGTTCACACAGTAACATGCTCAATATTTATTTGACATTTTTTAAAAATTAGTATTTACTTGAACATTATTGAAGGTATATTTGTTATTAAGTAATCCATTCAATGTAATGGTGTCGCTTAATGTTTATTGTGTAAATAACATTTGAATGTTTGACTATTCTTGGTTCTTTTGGTAAAGTCACGTAGATAGAAAATAAAAATAATAAAATGAAAAATAATAAATTGATAATAAAGCAAAAAACACAATAAAAATTTAATTAGTCAAATAAAATAAAAAATAAATTGAAAATAATAAAAGCAAAAGTTACCTAACAAGTGGAATATTTTAAAGTGCACAAAATGTGTTTTACTTGTTACAATAAAGAACATGTAATACTAATACATTTGAAATCATATAACTGTATTTTCCCTCAAATAAACACCCCAAACTGCTGTGGCATCATCCCTGCATCGGTTTTCTTGAAGTGTCGCAACGTCTCATTGCAAAACGCACTCCAGCAATGTGTGAGATACGTGGCGTTGCCGCTACTTGTTGACAATGTTAAAATCAGCCTCACTAGACTCGACACTTAATCATATTTCCAGAGTGAGATGAACTCCTGGTGGGGGTGGGGGTCAGCATTTTCAAAGTTCAAAACCTTTGTATGGCTTACCCACAAAGTAGTACCCATTTTATACACCACCTTGCAGTGCTCTCTTCACTTGTCTTCACTGGAAGCTACCCAAGATAGCTTCCATTCCGTCCCAAGTTCGATTCTTGACGGTCTTCCTCCTAGCACCTTTAAGTGTTCTCTCCATCATCAGCATTGGCGCCTCTGATAAGCACGGATGGTTACATCGGGTGCGAAGGCTGCTTCACACGTCCACAATATTGCGATTTTATCCACTTCACCTGACTTTGTAACCACGAGTCTTGGTCCATGTTTATTCTGCTTTCTTGCATGTTCTTTACAACAACATTTCCCTCCAATTTATATTAATCTGACTGTCTTATTATGTAGAAATCAGCAAAGTATATAATCTGTGGATAGATCATGTGCAACGGCCAAACCCGTGGTGGGATGGGACCATTTTATGGACAAAATATATTTGGGCAAATCTATATTTACTTGCAACCATTCCGAACACATTTTAACAAAAACATTGAAATTCACTGGTTTTCCAATTCAAACCATCACCACTCACGCTTTTTGTAAAAAAAAAGTTTTCCTTTTTCATTTTCTGTACCCTATGCATTTACAAGGTTCCACATGCAATTTGAGAATGTTGGTAGTGATGGAGTGGGATACGTAGGTACAACTTCTTTCGCACCGTACGTATCCAACCATGCTAATCGGAGGTGCGGTGGAAAGACAGCAAACTTAACACAATTTAAGCATTTGTAAACATTACTTTTCCAAGCAGGATTAAGTCTGGGTAGTCTTTGGATTGGTAATCACCATGCCCAATAGGTTATCATGGAGCTGTGGGGTTACATGGACAGTTAAAACCCACACCGACCAGCGTGGTGAAGTATGCCCAAATAACCCCAACGATCCACACAGGGAGAGGATTGACAAAATGGATTTGCATTAATTTTCCAAGCCACATCTGTATAAAAGATGACGCCAAACGAATATTTGGTGTTTCTTGTCATCCTATGGTCTTAAATAGTTATTGCTCTATTTTAAATGTGAAAGTACGTTTTCCCCTTACTACTGTGTAGGTTTTTGCGCCTGTGCTGCGTCGCTGTCTGAAGCGTTTTCGGGGTTGTGCCACTGCACGTTTGTCGGTGCGATGTCCGACGTTTCGCCCCATGTGCTTGAAAGCTTCTTCTGGAACTTGATTTATTTCAGGAGCGGTCTTCAGTTCCTAAAGAAGATGTAAACATGTCGAGCAAAACGTCGGACATGCCGAAACACGAAATATAAATCCGAAAATACAGCCAATTTCTTCTCTGTTAGGTAATGTACATAGCGCATACACCTGCAAACATTATGTACTGCGTGTACATTGATACCTTGTGAATTGTGTATTGTAATGTTGTACCAATAAACCGTAGGTCTCCACTCGATCTTGCAACAGCAAATTACACGCAAACACTGGGACGATTTGACATTTTGTACAATTCATTTTTGGTGTACACAGAAAGATATACACATACACTTTTAAATCGCCACATTTAACGTACACATGCAAAGCTTGACTACAATACAGTATATTATTGTCATGTATGTACACTATATTCATAAGCATTTGTCCAGGACACTGGTTAAAATACACTTTAAAAACGGAAACAATCTGTCTTATTTAAAAGTGTGCTGGGCAAGATCCAAACGTCAGATTATTACAGCATATAAAACACTTACCAGTGCTACGTTTGTAACAGTACCCTTTGCTTACCAGCAGCAGAAATATAATACTCGGCATTGGTAGGAGACAGTCACCTCTGCTGTCCACCATCTTCAGGAAGATGGTCAGTTAAGGGGTTTGTCACATTAAGTCTCTTCCACGATTTAAAATTGGGAAATATCTTGTCCTTCTTTACAGTACAGTGTGCACGCTTCTCAATGGACGAATTATTTCAGTTGTCACTGGTGAGTCCACTGATAACATTGGTTTCATGAGACTCAGCCATGAGGGTTCCTCAGAATTAAAATCCTTAGAGTGGCCTGCATTGGTTGACTCCAAAATTGTGCAAAAAAAAAAACCCCCAGTAAGTATTGCCAGTTGTAAACCTACAGCAGGAGCAATGCCCTGTCATCTGGCATAATTCAGTGTCTGGTTATCCAAATCTATCACACGAGGGCCCTCTTCCAAGGTCAACTCAACCATGAATTATTTACCCAGATATTAACCTCCTCTCATTGACCAATCCTGAAAGTGGGGCCTGATGAAGGTCTAACAAAGCACAATCAACCCTTAAAGGAACACCTGACCAGAGAAACATGACAAGGTGTTCAATTATTCAACCGACGAGGCAACGACCACACAGTCCGCTTCATTGACCGCACCAAGGAGCAGGTGTTGTAAAGACAAAACGTGAAAGGTGAACAGAGGGACAAGCCACGTGTAAGGTTAGGTTTGAGATCACAGTCAGGGGTAGAGGCTAGTGCTAAGAGCTGGTTGGCTAGTGGCCAGTCTGCTCTGCCCCACCAAATGTGGCCTTTTCACTTTTCACCGTGTATGTTTTCGAGGTTGAGCCGTATTTTCTCCTGTGATGTGTTTGCGGGCTCGAAGCTTCTTCAGGAATCCGAGGAAGCTGCCGGCACGTGGAGCGTAACATCAGGCCTCGTGCCAAAACAACACGCGGCACAACTTTAAAACAGATCGGACAGAAACCCCAACTTTTTGTCCCTTTTCATTTTTAATGTTTGCAGCGCCCCTAGTGGTCCTTCTCCATAACCAAATCCACCGAAAGGCCATCACAGTGACACTGCCATCATAGCAGACGACAGACTGTTGAAATTATGCGCAGATGAATTATTCATGGGACAATTGCAACCTGCACTGGCCCACATTTATAGTGCGCACAACACGAGGATCATGAAATAAAACCCATGTAAATAGAACAGGGTAGCTTCTGATGCTCAATATTGAGTACATTCTCCAGACAATACAAACCGCACAGAGGCTTTCACCGTTGGACGTTTCACAGGACCCACTTAGAAAACTCAAGCGGAGCCCTTTAGAAGGTTAGGGGACAATGGCACTTTGCGTGCGCGGGCGTTAAAACACAGCGAGCACATATTCCAACTGCGACCTTGAGGGGTAAAAAGCGTGGCTACTCACACCTCTTCCAAGAACAGGGGCCAGTGTGGAAGAGTAGGCCAAAGTTCCCGCTAGATGGGCTCTCTAGAACTCCCTCTACTGGAGGCCATTGTGCCAACAGTGACGTGAGCAAGACATTTTAACCTTCTTGGTTCTTTCGGTAAAGTCACGTGACTTTACCGAAAAAACCAAGAAGATGAATCCCTGCAGTCACGAAAGCTTTAAATCGAAAGACATTTTAAGGCTGCGCTTTTACTTTGAGCTCGTGTGCACGTGCACACTTTTGCTCAACGTCATGCGCGCGCGTGTAAAGCGCTAACAAATTTGGCGACATCCCTGACAATTTGTTTAAATGTTGAATGTGGTTATTTTCCTTGGCAGGTTCAAATAGAGGGTTGTTAAATACACGTCATGTAATTGTAATTGGTTATACTACAAGCCAAATCTGTAAATGACCAAAAAAAACAAAACAAAAGAAAAATCAATGCAGGCTAGAAGCTAGCATATTTAACAACGTACAAAGTTGCGCAGCATTGCATGACCAAAACGCTCTCAGGCTTATCCAGACCAGCAGCTCAACTGTTTTAGTTATTTTGAGGCGGTGGTCTGTGCAAAGTGTTGGAAAATGAAACCTAAAAACCTCAGGTATTGACATGCAGGGCCACCGAGGGGAGGAGAGTGGGCGCTTTGCCCTGGGGTGCCACAGTGGCAAGATGTTAACTCCCTCGCCTGGTACGAAGGAGGTTGTGGGTTTGATTTTTCTCCAGGTCCTCCGGTTTTATTCCTCCATATTTAGAAACATGTGGTTTTGAGCAGTTGGCTGCTATAAATTCGCACATGATAAGCCACTTCGTTGAGCTATCATTTGTGGCCAGGTCGCTTCTGAAAAATAGCTATGGGCTTAGTGGGCCTTACCTTGTAAAATATATATTTTTTTTGTTTACTCACAAGAGACCTGTTTCTTTGTCACTAATGAATAGGAGCGTCATTCCCTTGGCCTCCAATCCTGGTACCCAGAAAGCTCTGGGCAGCATCGTTTACATTCACACTTTTTTTTTTTAACAAGACAGTCCCCCATCTGAAGTGTGCTTACCACCGTCATTATTTAGACCTAATACATGTATTGGTTAATTATAGGTCCAACATACCAACTTCTTCTATAGATTAATGAGCAGCTGTTCTTGATTGCCCCGGTATTACAAGTCGGCACATGACGTCTATTCATATGTAAACTTTGGCATGAGATTGTGTGTATGTCATGAACAGGTACAGCTTAATAGGCTGACATCCGTGTACAAGACTACATGCTAAAGAACAAACAAAAAGGGATTGAGAATGGGATAACATTAAAATATCTATTGGGATTACTTAACATAAACCAATACAAGTCGGTGCATAAAATGAGTGTGCAAATTATAAACGTTTGCATGCCTTGTGAAAACTATTTGAATTTATAATTGTTCGTGGAAATACTCCACACTTCTGGACACTATCTTTCCTTTGTCTACGTAGCATCAATTGTAATTCTGAAAGATCTATAAAGCAATGCACAATGACACAGCAGTCATGGCGAGTATTTGGAACCAGGTCAGTGTTTTGCCACGTACCACAGAGAAGTAAGATTATAAATTGGCCGATTTGGGGCAATGAGAGATAAAGATTTCATATTGAGCGAGTATGTGTGAATGTATTCACTAAACATCTTCTGTTCAAGCTCATAGCATCAGTAATACTTAAAGTGGTCACACTTTCCAATACATCCACACCTATGAACAAGTAGAACAATAGGGACGCATTGAGGCAAAGATTAGCAGACAGGCAGGCACAAGTGACACACTGAACGATATTATTACCATATTGTCTGGAATATAAGACACTTCATTGCCCCCATATTTTCAAGCACATTTTGTGGGATGCATAATTTTGATAATCGGGTAAGGCGTGTGTGTGCGAGACCAGATTTGTATCACTACTGGATTCACACGCCCAAGTTTGGGGTGAGTTTTACTTTTTAGAGCATCTTATGATTTGGAGAATATGGTAATAATGATTATTCCCCAAAAAATAATTATCCTACCCAAGATCAACAGATATAATGCACATACCCCTCATTTATTACAATGATAAATGCATAAAAATATAACTGACAGCCCTTCGTCAATCCACTGCTGGATGAAGGTCTCCCCCACGCCATGTCCGTCATGAGTGACCATTCATAAGACAAAAATCAAGCACTGGTTATTACCCACAAACTAGTTTTCCATTAACACGGTTCTAAACAGTAAACATTTGAGCTGTGTGAAACCGCTAATTAGGAGGCAAATGTATTTGTTCTGTCAATTTCAGTCAAATATCAATTCCTTAGAAAATCTGCAGCAACTCAAAAAATGTGAGCAACATTTGCGATGAATATTATTAGTTAAAAAAAAAAACATGCCCCAGAGTTGAAGGAGCAAGAACGAACTGCCGTGTCACTTACAGCTCTCCCACACAGACGTGGCAACAACTGTTGTGCAGGTGAAAATGAATTAATCACTAAAAGTTTCTATTGGCGCAAGATTTAAAACTCGTCCGGTGCCGCACAAATGCAATATGGTGCTCTGAAAGCAAAGTTTTTTTTTTGTTGCAATGTGTTTATCCGTGAAACTCCACAAAAGCCACTGGACTGCATGTTTTGCCGGGAGATGGCAGTATTACAAGTGGGTTAATGAACCGTTTTCCGTGGACCTCGGGAGTGTGATTAATTCGTTTGTACTGTGGGTTTTATCTAAAGTACAGGCGAGTTATTTTGGGGCTATATTTCCACTTGGCCCAAATCCGGGCAGGAGCCCAAAGTATTTCCATGGTTCCTAGGAAGAAAGGTTGGGGCTTATATCTACACTGCCAGTCCTGAGCTAGCAACTGCATAGGGCAAACCAATGTTGACTCTCCACAAAGTGGTACACTAATGCCTTCAGAAGGATCATGCTTCGAGTAGGACCCCCAATGGCATTTGAGCTCACAACGGTCCTAATGTGAACAGAGTGGCGCTTGAGCGTATCTCCACCCGTGTGTTAGTACAAGGCGATCCGTTTATAGAAACCCCACTAATTTATGACGACCCGTCATCTGCGTGTTGGATTGGCCGAGGTGGAAGAATTGCGTAGCCCCCCACGTTTGACAACATTAACGCCTACTTGATTTTGTTCCTGTGAAACGACATCAAAGACAGTGTGTGCGCGCGCGTGGGAGAACCGCGATGACATATCAACTACCTCATTCTAAATTGAAAACGAATTTTTTTCCAAGTTATTTTCTGTTTAGTTTGTTGTGTTTTCCCCCGCACCTCCGATTAGCATGATTGGCTACGTACGGCAGAAAAAAAGTTCAACATACATACGTACCTGAGCTCACGCATAATTTAATGTTTGAACCATTCAGACTGACCACCTTTGACAGAGCGTTCGGGAGAGTTTTAAACTATTTCATTATTGCATTTAGATTGGTCTAAAAGCTTTGATTACCTCATTATGACTTCAGTGGGGCATCAATACAGTTCAGAGTTGCATGACATACACATTAAAATGTTCTCAATTAGCCTGCCACTCAAGCCACTTGCTTGTTGACGATTGTGAAAAATGATATGCACTTGGCAAGATGAGCAAATATAAATATATATAAAAACAAGGGATGTTTCCCTAATTTTCAGATTGGTCCGAAATATCCGAAAATCAGGCCGAGATACACTTGTTGGATTGGTTCGAATTGTATTTTTCTCTATCGATCCAAAAGGATGTCATCACAGGAAAAGATGTCACTGTTCTTATGCCACATCCGTGCTTTTTTTCCCACCACGTGGTATCGTGGCATTGGGTGACATCACTTTTGGTTGCAAAAAATCACGACTAATCATATATGTGGCCCACAAACAATTTGACATCTCATCAGTCGGATTTCAATTAATAGGATGAAAACTTTTCGTTTTCAAGTTTAGCAGACACACACACACACTCACAGTGGTTGTCATGTCATTTTTAGAAGCACACAAAATACTTTCAGCGGTATTGGTCTCTGCAAGGCTGAAGATCTGAAATCCACGCGCTTGAAAAATGGATGATCAGGAATCGGCTTTGACTTGAAAAATACACTTGGGACTTAATTCACGTTTTGGTGGAAAAGGCAGTTTCTGCTGATGTTTTGTGGGCAAAGAATGGCTAATATTCTGCAATTTAGAAAAACAGAACTGAAATCTGATGGCATTTTCTTCTTCGTTCACCCACGAACCAAACCAGTGGTTTTTACTTTCATGTGAAATTCAATAATGTTGATTGTAACAATATTCCCAGTACAAAAATACAATGTAAAAAAAGTTCATTGTTTTACGATGGTCTACAGTAAAAAGGTGAACTCGTGGCTATAAACGGAAATAATATTTGTGAACGCGTGCAAGGAATGTTTCTGTATACTTAAAATAAATACAAAAACTAAAAGTTTAAGCAAATTACAGTAGTGAACGGTGCACACGAAATATTCCCAAAGATTACATAATCAGACCGAGGGAGTCTGTAAGCTGCATTAACAAATCATACAAGCCATTAAGTGGCAGAATTAAATGCTATCGTATAATTATTTCAGAAGACAAACGAAAAAATTATAGTAAAATTTATATATGTTTAAAAGACCCGTGGCTAAATGTAGATAAATGCCAGTGTTAAGTTGAATGTGGCTTGCCCATGTGATAGACTACTCGCCCTGACGTCTACAGAGCTATTTTTGGAGATGTCACAGTGACTTTGTGACTTTCTTCCCATTCCTAAAACTTTGCAAGCCTCCTCCCGCAGGGAGGGCTTTGCATGCATGCCTTAGCATTCTCAAGTCGCTCGGATGCCCGATAACATTATTATTCCTCTGCCACAACTGCCGGTCGGACCCTGTGGCCCAATACGGCGAGAACTGGCTTCGACATTCGCATTAACGCTTCTTGGCACGTTGCTCGCACGAACCAAAATCGTTCGGGATAGTTTTCCCGCGTCAAAGCAACGCGAGGGCTATTACAAACGCATCGATGACGGGGGCCCCCCATTTGGTCTGCCGCTGTTTCATGCCGGCAAAACTGCACCAGACGCGACGAGTGACCGTGCAGGTTTCGAGAATTTGGTTCAAAATCGGAGCGTCGCCGTTTTCGCACGAACGCGAACAACAAAAATAATCATCCGAGCGGCCAGCGTGCACGGTGCCCTCATCGCACGGCTTCTAACGGGCGTCGCCCGGCACATCGTCGGCGTCCCCCACCTCCGAGCAAGGCGACGGAGTGCTGCAGCTGCAGCACAACTGACTCTGTAAAAGTTTGTGTGAAGATTGTGCAACAGGAGCGGACCGGGGCTCGCCGACGAAAGCAAAATCGGCAAGCCGGCCGAGGGATTTCATTTGCCGCGAGCTTCATCAAGGGGCGGACAACGTGAAACGCGGAGGCGCGCGCCGACTCATCGCAGCGGCTATGCAGCGGCTACAGGGATGATGATGATAATAATAACAATGGGCGTTACGTTACTTCACATGGAGGGAGAGCGGGTGGCCGTGGCGGTCACGTAAAGAGGTAGCAGCGCATGATGCATGGAGGTGATGCTTGCAGGTTACAAGAGAAAGCGAGCCCGTACCACTTCGTTTGTTGAGGGGCTCGCACAGTCTGGTGGGGGGGGGGGCACTTCATTTATCGGAGGGCAGGCAAAAAAAGCTCGTGCACACCAGCACAGGGGGTACCTCATTACGTCCAGCATCGGTTACAACTTTTTTCCACTGGCACAACAGAGCCGTGCCGGGGCCATGCCGAGCCAGCCCGGCGGTGGCTCAGGAGGCGACGGGTTATTTTTCCACTGCAGAAGCCGAGCCGAGCCGTGCCACCGATGTCACAACCACAATGGACGAGTCGAGGTGTACACAGATGGACATGGCGAATGCCGTGTTCTCGGCGTAGCGACCGACATGAAACACAACCAAAGTGTCATTATCCCCACCCCTGGTCCTGCTTGGCCCCAAGACCACAGTTTGGTTCTGGCTCGGCGCAGCAAATAGCCAGTGGAAAACCACCTGTTACTGTGAGGGCCCCCGTGCTGGCTTCGCTCAGGTGTGCCAGTGGAAAAGGGGGTATCAGAGGCCGTGTTAGCTCAGGAGGCCAGAGTTGGCCGGGTCCGTATCCCGGCGTCACCGCCGCGGTGGCCGGCTACTTGACAACGGCAACTCTGCTCAGTGCCGGCACCCTCCAGGGTCCCGGGGGTCCCGTGCTGGCGCGGGGCAGCGAGTCCGCACGTCGTCGCCGCCGGGACGCGAGCTCTCCGGGGGGTGCGCACGGGGTCGAGGGCTGGGCTCGGACGGAGCCGGCTCGGCCGCCGCGCGACTCCGTAGTCATTCCCTGGCCCAGGCGATCGCGCCGGTCGAACGGGGAGGAGGGGAGGCACAAGCCCCTGTCCCACGTTCTCGGCGCTCCCTCGGAGGCATCTGCGGCAGAATCGGCAAAGATGCGGGCGAATAAACTTAACAGAAACTCAAATGTTTGTTTGTTTTACCAGGTAAGGCCCACTGAGCTATATAGCTCTTTTTCAGAAGTGAGCTGGCCACAAACGATAGCTCAACAACAAAGTGGCTTATCGCATGGAAATTTAGTGCAGCCAAATACTCTAAACGAGTGTTGATTCAAATTGTGGAAGGGAACCGGAGAAAAATCCACACAATCACAAGGAAATAGACATGCAAACTCCAAAAAAAAAGGCATTAGGGTCAGGATTGAACCCACGACCTCTTGCATACCAGACGAGCTAGTTAACAATTCGCAATACTCAAGCCGCCATGACAGCAGATTATTTTAGAGGCGTCATCGTCAGCACGATGGCCGATAACAATTTTTTTTTGTCCATCGCTCGACCTCTTGGATTATTCGTGCCAGCTATAGACGACACAGCGCATGATGACAGCAACACTTGGCAGATAACGATGGCTCGTTGATTGAAGCGGACTCTCTGAAGTTTGCAAAATCAAATCCATTAAATACTTGAAAAATGCGAGATATATATAAACTCGTGGCCGGTAGTGAGCGATGCTTGTTTTCTATTGGCTTTAGTGTCAGGCACCAACGATCAATTTAAATTGGTTTATCGAGAATGCAGGACTTGTACGTGTGTGTTTTGAGCATGAGACTTAAAGCAATAAAGAATTTTAGGTTGAGTAAAACCAATCGACCTCCGGGCTGTACATTTTTCAGGGCATCGAACTTTCACGTGTTGGTTTTTTCAGATTTTTGTAATACTCAGGTTTAAACAGCCGTGCTACATTTCAGCTTGCGAGCACTTCCTGCGACAGCGTTAGAATTGACATCGGTCACTCACGCACTCATCGAGAACAACGACCGCCTTGCGCTGTAAGCGATATCGATCACCGACAGCAGCAATTGCTCGTTGGAATAATGCATTTAGAATACGGCAGCGCGCGTGGCTTCTGCGCCGGCCGCGCTTGTTAAAAAGTTTCTAGCAAGCAATACATTAGCGGAGTGCCATTTAATTTAACCTTCAACTCCCGCCTCCCTTGCGAGCTTGGGTTTCTCTCAGGGAGCGAGGGAGAAAGCCAAGTGGAAGCGGTTAAACACACGCCAAGCCATAGGCTAACCCCCCCCCCCACCACCGCAACTGCTGGCAGTGCCAGCTAATTGCAACTAAGCAATGTAATTTCTCGGAGTGGTCCTTAACGTCACGTTCGGTCGGAAAACGATTTGGATTTTTGGCCAGAACCAGCGTGACGGCAGAGGCGGGCGGCATCGCAAAGGGACATCTCTCCTAAGCACAACGGGTCGGAGAATACGCCAGGCCCGGAAGCCACCGTGAACAAACATGTTGTGCTGCCACAGCTGTATAATTGTGTGCGTCATCGTATTTGTGGATTTTCGCAAGCATCCTTCAAGGGATGTCTCTCCCGTTGAAAATTGGTGTCAAAAGGCCGCCTCCACGCACGAGCGAAGGAGGTGGCTGTAAATCCTCCTGAATGTCCCCAGAAGGTGGCACACGCTGTCTCGAACTAAACGTGTGGGTGGCAAACCAATCATTGCACGCAGTGATGCATCACACGCCTGCCAAAATCCATGGTCGAGATTCAATACAAATGTTATTCCTTTTTACATCTTGTTCCGAGCGTGTTTTTGGCAAAGTATCTCTCTTTTGTTCTGTCTCATTTGTTCCATAAGCCTAAAAGGTAATGTATGCCTAATAATCATCTTCAGCCATGATCAATCCACTGCTGGATGAAGGCCTCAACATGCCATTGCGATCCAGAATGGTGCCGTGATACCACAATCCATTTCCTCTCATGCACGTGATTACGACAGGTCTGTATATATTCTGAACTTCTTTCGCACCATACATAGCCAACTGTGCTAATAGGAGGTACTATCGGATGTCTGCTTTGGCTGCCATTCCTTTATCAGTCTCATCCAACGGTCAATCTGTTCCAGCAGTGTACTGCACAAGGCCAGTTGCCACTATTTCTTTAACAGCCATCATGAGTATGATGTCCAAATCGTCCCATCCCCCCGCAAACCACGCGTTCCTGTCTGTCTCGGATTGCAAATTTCATTATTAGACAAGTGGGTATGTTGCTTATCATGATACAAAAAAACAAAATCAGCTCTCCGGAGTGCTCCTTCCTGCTCTTGTTCGCCTCCATTTGATCATTTTGATCTCAAGTCGCCTTCGAAAGTTTCCCTAGGAATATATATTTTATCGGCAAAAAAAAAACATCTTATCCCACTTGCTGTATACGACTTTTGTTTTGTTCGTATTTGTCTTGAGCCCAATTGTGCAGCCATCTCTATGAACCCCTTAAATCGTTCCCTGCAGTTCATTCCTGTTGGTGATATCAAGACTACAAATGGTGAACAGGTACAGGTGCAGCCCCCTGCAATTTCTCACCCACATCACTGCTGGCCGAATGGGCTCCCACTCGAGGGCGCTCCAGAGGAGCCTCCGTCACGGGGTTATTTTGGCCTACTCTTCCACGCAGGCCAGACACCTTGGTAGAGGTGCGAGTACCCCACATTTACCTCGACCACAGGCGCCGATCGACTGTGGTGAACCCATTTACACTGCTGTTTGTGGCGGTGGTAGCGGAGGAGGGTGCGATTTAGAAAACTTGCATCAGTTGTCGTTTCAACTGCGGCACACCGGGAGGTGAAACCCAACCGGCAACCTCTGGATTGCAGGTCCAGTTGTGCCGACCGTTACACTGCTGTGGCAGCATCCGAGTGTTTTACACCATAGCTCGGGTCAATTGAAAAGTGAAGCCAGATTGCACGTTGGGAAAAGCCAGCATTGGTTCCGAGTAACACACAAAACAGAAGCAGGGAGGTTAAAACAAAACAAAATAGAATAGCTTAATGTTTTACCTTTCACTAGTGATGTCACATTCCTAAAAGGTTTCCTGAAAACAAGAAGAGAATTGTTAGTTTTAGGTGAAGAAATTAAAACCATGCAAGTGTCATTAATCCGCAAGGCCACCGAGACTTCAACGGTAAACCAAAACGTATTTATTCATGCATTAAAGATGCAGCCTAGGAAAACAATTGCTGCGGTTATGTTCGTTAATTTGGTAAAACCACAAATAAATATTGCCTCCTACTGGTAGACTATATTCGTCTGTGCAATGTAGGGCCTTTGCCATAGTCTTGCGTGATTGTGGCCCAAGGCTTTGTGTCCTGGAAATTCACATCGAACAGTTTTTGGGGTTGTCCTCCTTCCTCGTAAAACAGAAATAATAATTATTACCTCTACATTTATTTTGGAGATAAAATTAAAACCCCGAGACTGATAAAGACTTCCTCTGATCAGGTCCTGATTTTAAAGCCCAATCATCCAGGACCACCCGACATTTGCTCTGCATTAATATTCTTGACGTGCGAGTACTCCGCGGCTAAAACATCAGGGATCATTACAGTTTGTACTGCATCTCGAACTAAAGTAAATATTTTGTTAATGTCTGTTCTTGGCTGAAATATTAAAACATTCATTATTAAATCCAGTGCTCAACTTCAGCCAGAAACAGTTTTAGTTGGCATGCCACATCCATCTTGCCATTAACATAGGATTATTATTATGGATAGGCATACCCTGTGCTCTGGTGCTAGTGCCTTACGGCAATAATCCATACCCCATGCTAGCCTTCCAGTGCGTTCCGGAATAAATAGCATGAGAAATTTAGCTCGGATTAAAGCGAACTTGAAGCCACCGCAGTTAAAATGATGAACAGCATACGAACGTGCGCGGTGAGTTAGCGGTTAGCATCATGGAGAGGCATCTGCGTGAAAAAGCATTCACGAATAGAGTGGTGAGAACGTGAGATTTGCGCAAAAGTGCTGCAAAATAAAGTCACAGACAAGAAAACATGCTTGTAATCCGGCGAATATGGCAACACTTATTATTCCAACAAATAATCCCCACTGAAGATCAGAAAATACGCACTTCTTTAAATTATAAATTCAAATAAAAATAAATAGCTCACACCCCTTAGTGAATCTACTGCTGGATGCAGGCTGCCCCATGCCATATCGGTCATGGATGTTGGTTGACCATACTTCACCACCCCGTGTCAGTGGGAGTTGGTAACCGTGATGTTGGTTTTATATAGTATTCGCCATTGATGTTATCCGTGACCGGGAAACGAACTCGGGTCACTGGATTCGTATTGCAGTACATTAACCACGTATGCCATCACACGCAAGCGGAGCGATTACTCCTGCTTGCAACTGGAGACCCGGCGACTTTACATTGGGCAGCTCGAGGGGCCATAGCCCGTCGCTCCAATTAGCCTTCGGGAAATAGCCAAGCAAGCAATGTCAGTGCCGACAGTTTTAAAATCGACAGGTTATTGGGAAGAGGGTAAACAAATGATCGCCAGCTGTAGAGTAGAACAGAACAGTTACATTTCGATTTAAAGCTTTCGTGACTGCAGGGATTCATCTTCTTGGTTCTTTCGGTAAAGTCACGTAACTTTACCGAAAGAACCAAGAAGATAGAACAGGACAGTGTAAGGAGAGAACAGGAGGAGGAGTCACAGCAGGGAGGGGACATGAAACATTAAAGACGTACCAGGCGTCCGTTTCGCCACGCATAAATAAAAAACTCCACTTTGGTCCATCAGCCTATAGCGGCCTTCTCGGGCAATGCTTTTCAAAAGCATTCGATCTGTACGTAGTCAACCGTTGCTAACCCCCCGATTAGCATGGTTGGCTATGTACGGTGCGAAAAAAAAGTTCCACCTACGTGTATAAATAGGCTGAAGGACAAAAAGGCTACATTATTTATATATAGCACAACGGAACGTTGTTTTTTATTACATTTATGATTACAATCCAAAGTGTTTACATAAACGGCCGCTTTGTCAATCCACTGCTGGACGAGGGCCTTGCTATGCTGTGCGGGTCGTGCGGTGTTATTAGACCATACTTCACCACGCTGGTTGAGTTGGTGGGGGTTGTTGAAGACTGGGCAGTATAGAGGCGGAGGCATGGAAGTAACGCGCAACTATGTGTTTTGCCCACAACGTAGCCCCCATAACAATCCACCATCGTAACGCATCTTTGTATGAAAATGTCTTATTTGTTCTGAAAACTTCTACGTTGAATGGAGCGGAGGCACAGACTAAGATCATAACACAATGGCACGCGCGTTCATATTACTCCGTCCATAAAGTAACGGAACGTCTCGGAGCGGAGTTTTTCTTTAGCCTAATGGCAGGCAGCCTTGTCCCTGCGCGGCACAAGACGATTTAAACACCAGCCTGCAAAAGTGCCTGCCAGCAGGGGGGTGGCGATTACTGCGCGTTGATTGCGATCGAGTCATTTTTTTACACGGCATCGGCGGCGAGGGTGGGAATTTTTTTTGGCAAGCGCCCCACGCGACCCTCACCGCAGTCTGGCACTTGGCCCGTGCCACGCTTCAGCAGGAGCCGTGCCCTTCGGCCCCCGCTCTTGATGAGCTCGATGGCGCGAGCGTGCATCATGTCGCGTGTGCTCTCCCCGTTGATCTCCATGATCTGGTCTCCCACCTATGGTCGCGCACGCACACACACACGCGCGCGCGCAAGACAACGATCCCAATCTATTGCCTTAAACGCAATTTTACCAATGCTATATTCAGTTCAAGTTTCCGGCACTTGCACCCGTCGCAATCGGAGCATGGAGCCAGCACCACTTTTTGCCCGCTGGCCGCACAATCGCGGGCTTTACCCTCATGCGGCTCTGCCTGATGGCAGGGCCCTCTTCGGCCACGCGCAGGATGAACAGGTCCATGCTGTACTCCTTCCCGCCGCGGATGCTGAAGCCAAATCCTGTGTTGCCTCTCTCCAGCTCTGCCACAAAGTACTCGCCGTCCTGCGAGCAAAGACAAAGATTGAGGTGCCGCAGTGGCGAGATTGTTAACCGCCTCGCCTGGTATACAGCAGGTCGTGGGTTCGATCCCGACCCCGACACCTGCTGCTGTATATTTTGAGTTTGCATGTTTTCTGGGCTGTCGCGTGGATTATTCTCTGGGTCTTTCGATTTTTCCCTCGATATTTAAAATCAACGTGCGTTTTGAGTATGTGGCTGCAATACATTTCCACGTGATAAGCCACTTGGTTGAGCTATGATTTGCGGCCAGGTCGATTCTGAAAAAAAGAGCTATACATCTCAGTGGGCCTTATCTGGTGAAATACAAATAGGTTATTTTAGTTCTCCCCCCGTGTCGCCTCTGTAGAATGTTCGGGGCAAGTGGTGTTAGTAGCAAGCACTGGTGATGAGTTGGGTAGTGTCGCCAGGGTGACATCTGGCTTAAAACAAACAAAAAACACATGACAGTAATGTATCAATGTGGCCATAATCAAATTAAATAATGTTGAAGGATAAAGGGATGCGACCGAAGGAATGACTGTCAGTACCGAGGTAGATGTGATTGATGGGAGTCTTGTGTCCTGTCTTGGCCGGGTTTCCGATCTGTAATTTCCACACGGAGATGCATTTGTCAAAATGCATAAGCGCGCGCACACACACAGCTACATATACACGCGCACACACACAGCTACATATACACGCGCACACACACAGCTACATATACACGCGCACACACACAGCTACATATACACGCGCACACACACAGCTACATATACACGCAAACACACGTAACAATATATATGTACACACACACCCACTAGCTGTGACCAAACTACCCGGTCAGCACCTACCCTCAGAAGTGAAACAGGGTTAGGGGCCTAGACATGTGCTCGCATAGCCACTGAGGTGTTATCGGCTGTCACAGGGCGACAATGTAGGCAGCATCAGAAGGCGGTAGATGAACCTCCATTGTTGGACTGTAATTCTATGCCCCACATGTTATTCACCTGCACCAACACGCACGGACCAGTGTGGTGAAGTATGGTCAAATAATGCCCACTACCTGCACAGGGAAAGGAGACCCTCATCCAGCAGTAGATTGTACATGTGTAATAACAGCCATAGAGGGTTCACGTGGGGATTGGCTTGCCGGTCCTGCTTTGTAGCCAATAAGGGTTGAGATAGGGAGCGTGGGCCCGGCGTGATCACGGCATGTCATCAGGAGTGATTGGCCTGGCCATTCGGGGCCCCAGCTAATGGGGATCCGGATGAGAGGCGTGGTCCCGGGAGTGACAGGGAACCATCGAGAATGGTCGAGGCTGTCCATGGAGGATTGGCTGGGGGGACCACGTGTCGAAGGGATTAAGAGAGAGTGAGAGAGAACGATCGAGGGCAGACTGGGAAACGAACAGAGCGAGAGCCACGCGCGTACGGGGGCTCTGGGTGCCACGTGCGCGGTGGGAACTGGAGTGAAGTCTGCCCGCTCTCTGTTGTCTGCCAACAACGGAGCGTGAGTGAAATAAGTGTATCGTGGAGGTGAAAATAAAGAGGACCGATTCCGAAGCCGTCTCCGAAGGATTATTACACATGTACGCCAAAGTTGTCGTAATTATACGTCGCACTAAATTCAACATGGATTTCCATTGCTATTTAGCTTCCTCAATTCTTCCAAGATTCTAAATCACCCGCAGATCTCTCCCCACTGATCGATGAGACTGATGAAGAGGCTTTCCATCACATGACGAAGCTTGAAATACTACTTTATCCTGTCTGATGGGTATTGCTCTCAACGTTTTTCTCAGTGCATGTGTGGGCTCAGAAGGATGGATTCGCAGCCCTGAAAAATGTATTATAGATCATGACAATTAGCAACACTAAACGCCACGGTGGCGAGATGTTAACTCCCTTGCCTGGTATACAGGAGGTCGTGGGTTCGATCCCACCCCTGACGCCTGCTGTATATTTAGGTTTGCAGTGTCTCTCTCCCCGTGGTCGTGTGGACTTTTTTTCGGGTCCTCCGATTTTTCCCACAACCATGAGAAACATGCGTTTAGAATATTTGGCTGCTATAAATGCCCACACAATAAGCCAACTTCTTTGAGCTATCAGTTGTGCCCAGGTCGCCTGGTAAAATAAAAAAATAGTTTAGTTTAAGTACTTACCATTTTATATTCAATTATATTTTTAATAAATCATCATGAGCTGTCTAGGTGGATTATGGGTAATGAGACAATTAACCATGAGGTGATAGACAGCATTTCATCACTATTCATTATGTTGACATTTAATGCCGTTAGACATTACACTTTCACAACCAGTTGGCCCAGTTTTGACTTTGTGTCTCATCAGCAGGGCATGGCCTGCGACACATATATCAATAGCAGCCCATGATTGTGTAGAATATTGTTTTAGTGCACCGAATTGACCCAAGATGGTCATCAAAGGCCTACAACACCTTGGTTACCCCAGCAGCATTTGTTTACATTGTGGAAAAAATGTTGATTGGGTTGACAAAAAAATTGGCCACGTCCAACTTAAATAAAGAATCCAGTCAGTGATAACATCACGCAAGGCTGCCAATTTCAGTTTCTGCTGTTAGATTTAGGAACGATATTCTTGGCCCAAGTAAAACCATTCATCTGCTTTGTACAAGAATCTCACCTCATCTGTCACTGAATGACTATTACTCTCTGGATTAACGAGGCACCACACAACACACACACAAAGGTGGCCCTATGCGACCCTCACCGATTGTTCCCGAGCCGCGTTTTCATGATAACGCGGTTGTTCTATCTGGGAACACTTTTCACACGCGGAACGCATCTGTTTAAATGTGGAACGCATGCATTGTTATAGAATGTGGTTTCTGAGCAGTCGACAACGAACTAATTTCTTGAGCTGCGCGGCTGAGCAGTACGATACAGTACGCGGAATGATACAGTACGTGGCGTATCATCATCTCTGTCCCGCCATGGGATGAATGCAGGCTAATTTTATAGCGCAAAACGTGGTTCAAATTTGTATTGTTTTTATTTATTAAGTTACGCCCTGTAACGGTACATTGCAAGTAATTCCTTCGCTTTACGCGACACTTTTCAGGAAGGCTTCTGCCGTGTTCAACGAGGAATTACCCGTAGACTGAACGTGTGAAGTTGGGAGGTCTCACCGGTTAGCGAGCAGGAGGGCAGGCGATGTAGACGCCAGATTGGGCTTGGAGGAACCACTCAAAGAGGGGGAGACATTGGCATCTGAAATAAATGGAATCGGCATTCATTATTACGACTCTCGGCGTACCAATTTAAATAAGTCGAAAATAAAGGTCTAAATTAGGTCAACAACCGGGAATTCTTTGGAAAAAAAAAAACATTCAAACAAAAACTGCCGATGAATATTAGACTTGCGTTACAATACTGTAAACAACAACAAAAAACAACCCCAGTTCTTTGGCTCTTTCCTATTTCAAAATGAACCAATCTCAACATTGTAACTTCTAAACTCTCAGCACTGAAAATAATAGCAGTTAAACTGCTGGGGGGACACACAGCTTGGAGCGGATTTAAGGGAGTGGGGGGGGGGGCACACCCTGCGCAGGGAGCACGGAGAGGGTGATGCGCAGCCCCGAGTCGCGGATGAAGGTGACGATGTCGGCGTGGGGCATCCCCACGATGGAGCGCCCGTTGAGCGCCACCACGCGGTCCCCAACTTTGAGCCTCCGCCCACGCTCAGCAGGGCTCCCCTCGATGATGTGACCTGGGCTCGGCAGGGGGTGGGAGGACAGGGGGAGAGGTTGAGGAGGGAGGGGAGGAGGGAGGAGGAAGAGGAGGTGCAGGAGCAAGAGGCAGATTCGATCACCGTAATCCAAACTCAATAGTCATTCTTCTTGGTTCTTTCGGTAAAGTCACGTAGAATGGAAATAATAAAATAATAAAAATAAAACATAATAAATAATTCTCACGACGTTTCGGCCACAACGCAAGCAGCCGTCCTCAGCGTTTTTCTGATAGACCTGTTCTTCACCTGAGGACGGCTGCTTGCGTTGTGGCCGAAACGTCGTGAGAATTATTATATGTTTTATTTTTATTATTTTATTATTTCCCTTCTACGTGACTTTACCGAAAGAACCAAGAAGATGAATCCCTGCAGTCATGAAAGCTTTAAATCGAAATTCAATAGTTGTTTGGGAACTGGTGGGACCCGAGCTGGTTTCCAAGTCGTCGACACGGCGTGGGCGACTGCACGAGGGCTTGAGGCGAACGAAGGTGGCCAATTTTTTTGCGCTCACGCTCCTACAACTTTTTTTTCCCTTTTAAACGCTCGTGCTCTCACCGATGCTGGCGCCGCCGTCAGGCCGGCTCACGGACGAGATGATGATGAAGCCGAAGCCCTCGTTCTCCTGCCGCTGGATCACCACGTCGTACGGCTGCGCGTGCCCGCCGGAAGCGTCGTCGGCCCCCGGCGGCGGCGGCGGCGGCGGCGTGAAGGCCCGTCGCGTGGCGGGGCCCGGGTAGTGCTCGGGGGACGGACGTCCTGCCGGGGCCTCGGGGTACGGGGCCTGCTCCCTCCAGGGGGGCCCGCGCTGCACCCCGTCCCCTCCTCGCCCGTCGCCCTGGGCGCCGGCTGAGAGGTCACACAGTTGAGGTCACGATGTCGACGGCGACAGCGGTCAAAGCAATCGGATGTTATTAAATAAATGGGTGGGAAAATATGCCTCATTCGCAAATTTCTCCCTGCACATCAAACATTAAAATATTTTTGGTAAACATCCCATCAAGCCACATGGCCTTCTGGGAGAGCGTACTGGATCAATAAACCAAACTCAGGATGGGTATCTACATTCAATGTCTCATCAGCAAAATCATTCTTGCTTTTTTAATTGCAAAATTTTGGTGTGAAAGATGCACAATTCCTATCCCCCAATTAGCATTTTTAGTCTTCTTTAGTGCACGGTCAGCCTCTAATCACATTTATAAAAACATGTTGGTCTGCGTGTTCATTGAGACCCATTATAGTCTGGTGGGCAGTAGTCGTAGTCATCGTCACGCTTTGTGGATTTCCGTGCACTCACGGTTATCGTCGACCAACATGAAAGCAACACATGGTTGACGAATATTGCCGTCACTAATTTTCTTAATGAAATGAACCCTTTCTCGTTCCGAGATGACTGCAAGTTGCAGGACGGGTCCCGTTCCCGCTTAATCTCGGAGCGCGCAAGCAGGTTAGCGTTAATTTTATTTATAGAGGCGTAGCGCCGCTGTTTTTAAAGACTGTACTGTACTCATCCGCAGAAAACTGCAGCAACATAACCGCACTCACTGTACAATAGCTGGCGCCAAACTGTGCCACACACCCTCCCACATGGCCTTTTACGTCCGAAAAAAAAGGAAGACGTAAATGTACGTCATTAGAACGGGAAAGGGTTAACATCGCGCTGGCGGTGACGGTGCTGGCAGGCGTCGGCTCACCGGAGAGGGTTGGCCGGTGGATGGTGAGCGCCACGAGCCCGTTGCGTGCCGCCTGCTGCATGAGGCCGATGACGCTGCGGTGAGACTTCCCCGACACGGGGATCCCGTCAACAGACACCAGCTCGTCGCCCGAGCGCATGCGGCCGTCCAGGTCGGCCGAGCCGCCCGGCACGATGGCTCCGATGCGGATCTGAGGACGGACGGGTTGCCGAGCGGGTGCGGCCCATGGCCCATGGTGGGGGGGGGGGGGGTCAGAGGGCATGGAGGTTCTCACCCCCTCCCCCGTGACGCGGATTTCCTCCACAGAACCCAGGGACATGCGGTGTGCCTGGGACTGACCGTGTGGTTAATGGGCCTCCTCCTCCCCATCTATGGAACCAATCTTTCTCCGAATGTTGGGGACTCTCTCTATTTGTTTGCACCTATCTATCTGTGTAGCTTATCTGCCTTTTAAACAATTTTTATTTTTTTCCCCATTTATTTACTAAGGATTGTATTTGTCAAGAGCTTTATTCGTTAAGCATTTTGTTTAAAGATTTGATTCGTTAAGTATGTACGTAGAACTTTTTTTGCACAATACGTAGGCAAATAGCAAATCTAATTTTCAAAACAGTTTTTTATGTTTAGTTTGTTGTCCTTCCCCCACACCTCCAATCAGCAGGCTTAGCTATGTACAGTGCAAAATAAGTTCCACATACATTGATACGAAAGGGTTAAACGGAGTTCTCAAGAGTTTACGGTCTCAGTCAAGATAACAGTCACTGAATATTAAAAATAATTTGCTTGTTTTTATTACTCACATTGGCCAAATGGCCGTCCTGCGATTACATCGGTTTGAAGATCATTTGACTAAGATTGTTGCAAGACAGCAGGGCACGGCGCACGTGCGCACCCATTCGTGCGTGAATAATTAGGGGGGCCTGGGGGGGGGAGGTATAGTCAGGCTACGGAGACAGGCATTAGAGTGGAGCTCATAGGTTCGTGACAAAGGGGACGATGACCAGAAGGTGGTTATACCGTGAGCACAGTTCTCTTCAAGGTAAGGTATGAACCATGAAAGAGCAGAGATATCCAGGGGGGTGATAGTGAAAAGTGGTCGTGTCAAATGCATTGGGCATGATGGCCTCTTAAAAACCGTTTGATTGAGAGAGACCTGTTGTCTTAATGGGTTCTCACACGACTGTAAATAAAAGCTCTCATTGATTTGTGGTTGCCGGGAAAATGCACAGGCTTGTAAATCCATACCCGTCTGCCTCCCACGCTCGCTGCTCCCCAACTGCCCACACTTCCCTTGAATGGGTGCAAGGGTTGACGGTTCCATATTTTTTAAAAGGTAGACCATGGGCTTATGAAATGAGTTTAATAAAAAAATGTATATCCTATGACCAAATCGGCAGGCGGGGGGGTGGAAGGTCAGCACCAGGCGGTTCAGGTCGGCACAGAACAAACATTGAAAAAACGCTTAAAACCCCGCGACACGTACCGGCTGACCAAGCTCCTCTCCTCCGAGTATCCGGAAGCCAAACCCGGCCTCCTGCCTCCGCAGGTGGATCGTGATCTCCTGGTAACTGTTTCCTGCTCGCGCACACACATACATACATATACAAAGACAAAGATCCCCCGTATAGCCTTAACAGACTGTAGGGGCAAGTGCTGTTAGCGAGCACCTATGAAGGCCGGAACGGTACACGAACGAGGGGGTGGGTGGCCAACATCACGCCCGACCGCCTTCGTCTCCCCAGTGGCGATGTTTACACACCGCAACAGGTACTCATTTAAGGCTGAGTCGACCTAGGGGAGGCCCAGGACCGGTTCAGATAATCGTCACTGGTGTTAGCCGTGAGTGGGAATCGAACCCGGGTCGCCAGGTTCATAGCGAAGTGCGTTAACCACTACACTACCGCTCCCCATACACACATACATACATACGCACATACACACACACACATACAAATACGTGACGACGCATCCTTGCGGTCACATCCGTCCGTTCGTCTGTCGAGGAATAGGTGCGGCCAATGTAGGTGCTCACCAAGAACCCCATGCAGCTCAAGGGGCCATGGGTTTCATAAAAATAATAAATCAGAGTATTTATGTACAGCATGTTGAACTTCGTTCGCAGAACTGTACGAAGCCAACCGTGCTAATCGGAGGTGAGTAGATCAAATAACAGCCGAAATCACATTATAATAAACATAACAAGCCAATTGATCATAACAAAAGATAAATCAATCTATCCGTCTCGATCTTGTCTGCAAATCGAATCTCACTTCATCTCTCTTTCCGTCTACATTTCTCACACCTCAATACTCCTATGTCTCGTCGACAACAATAACAATGAGAATGCAATTTATAAAACGCACGCAATATTTCGCAGAGAGTTTAACGACCGCAATTTCACTAGAAAGGAGAGGGGGGGGGGGGGGCTCCACTGGGGGAGGGCATCATCACCAGTGGGTCTGGTCCCAACATCACAGGTGGGAAAAGCCTGCGCTCAGAGCCGTTTTAGTTCCATCGAGACGAAAACTAAAAAACCACGGACAGTCCTCGACTTCCAAACACAATTCCGTCCCGTTCGTAAGTCGGAACACAGTAATGTACTTTGTATTTAAATGTCCACACACACAAACAGTCACTGACAGAGCGAGGCTGACTCATATATGTATCACGGTGGTAAGCTCAGCTGAACAAAACAGTTAATGTTACAAAAAACCCAACAACGAATTTTCCACAGAAGCTGGTTCTCATACGCGCGGGTGTTCATAAGTCGAGGACTGCCAGCATTAAACTAATTTATATTTGACAAGGTAAGGCCCACTGAGCATTTTTGCTCTTTCAGAAGCAACCTGGCTATCACACATGATAGCTCAATGAAGTAGCTTATCGTGTGGAAATTTATAGCAGCCAAATGACTCTAAAAGCATGTTTCTAAAGGACGCGGAGAAAAATCCACGCGACCACCGGCAGAACATGCAAACTCCAAATATCCAGGCGTCAAGGACGGGATCGAACCCACGACCTTCTGCATACCAGGCGAGGTAGTAAACGCCTCGTCACCGTGGCGCCCATTTGCATGGGCCACCACCACATGGACATAACCCCTCATGGGAGAATCGTGAACCCAGAAGTCCCAATCCATAAACCATGCCCCCCCCCTGCCCCCGTACCCTCTGAGCACACCCTTTTCAGTAAGTGGCAGGCATGTGAAAAGCCCAATGAAAAAAAAAGAAAGGAGAATGCATTTGTCTTCAATGCACTGCTGTTGCGAGAGTTCATAATGGACGCTTCATCTAATGCACGGTTCGGCAACCAAGATAACAAGGAGAGACATTTTTTTTCCTTTTCTCGAAATCGGTGAAAAAATAATCAATATTTGAAGAGTCGCAATGCAATGTGAATACGAGATGGGTGGTCTTTAATAAACAACGGTCACGAAATAGTCCTCTTAAAGAGCCGCATACGGCTCCGGAGCTGCGGGTTGCAGACCCCTGAACTAATGATCTAACGGATCAGGGGTCCTGGTGCCGAGATGTTATCTGCCTCGCCTGGTATACAGGAGGTCGTAGGTTCGATCCAAACCCCGACGCCTATATATTTGGAGTTTGCACGTTCTTCCCATGGTCAACGTATATTTTTCTCCTCCCGTTTTCCCATCCACATTTAGAATGATGCGTTTAAGAGTATTTGGCTGCTATAAATTTCCACGTGATAAGCCACTTTGCCGAGCTTTCATTTGTGGCCTTCTAGAGAGGCTATGTAGCTCAGTTTGACCTTGCCTGGGAAAATATAAATAGTAGTAGTAATGACATGGTACTGATGGCAAGATAGGAATACACATTGGTGGGGCGGGGGAATCAGTACAGGCTGTGGACCACAGCAGCAGGCAGTAGCAGCGGAGCAAGCAGCAGCAGGATTAAATAGTAGTAGTAATGACATGGTACTGATGGCAAGATAGAAATACACATTGGTGGGGCGGGGGAATCAGTACAGGCTGTGGACCACAGCAGCAGGCAGTAGCAGCGGAGCAAGCAGCAGCAGGATTATCGCAAAACGGCGGAAATTTCCGGAGAGACAGAAACTTCAACTCACGTTGGGAGTCCTCGTAGAGGCTCTGCGGGTCCTCGTAGACGCGGGACGCCTCCTGCCGGCCGCGGAACTCCTCGGCAGGAGGTCGCCTATAGGGGGGCTGCGCGTGGGACGGAGCGATGCCCGCGGGTGGCAGGGCCGGAGGCTGCGAGAAGCGTCGGGGCGGCGAGTCCCGTGTCAAGCTGCCCTGGCTGTCGTGTCGTTCGTAAGCCTGCTGCCGGGACAAAACGTGTGCACGTGGGGTGGGGGGTGGGTTTCAGTTAGCAGAGTTGTGCATTTTTCGATTTAAAGCTTTCGTGACTGCAGGGATTCATCTTCTTGGGTTCTTTCGGTAAAGTCACGTAGAAGGGAAATAATAAAATAATAAAAATAAAACATAATAAAATAATTCTCACGACGTTTCGGCCACAACGCAAGCAGCCGTCCTCAGGTGAAGAACAGGTCTGTCGGAAAGGCAGCGTCATTCAGACGCTGTCTTTCCGACAGGCCTGTTCAGACGCTGTCTTTCCGACAGACCTGTTCTTCACCTGAGGACGGCTGCTTGCGTTGTGACTGAAACGTCGTGAGAATTATTTTATCATGTTTTTTTTCCCTTCTACGTGACTTTACCGAAAGAACCAAGAAGATGAATCCCTGCAGTCACGGAAGCTTTAATATTGTTCGCGAAAGCCTCCGTGTAACATTTCGCTTGTTGGTGTCATGTAAACATGGGAAACGATGCGCTGCACAGCCGTACCATTTGCGCCACTCTGTTGGGGGAGAACGGCGATTGCCCTGCAAGAGAAGATGTGCACAGAGCAGATGAGCACAGCGGCACGATTGATGCGGCGCACAGGACTGCACAACCATCCAAGTACCACTGTGTGCATGTATCTACGTAGAACTTCTTTCGCGCCCTACATAGCCAACCGTGCTAATCGGAAGTGTGGGGGAAGGACAACAAATTAAACACAAAAAGTAGTTCGAAAAGACACGAGTTTACAATCTACATGATTTAAAAGTGCATAGCTCCAGTGGCTTCCTAATAGAGGAGGAAGAGCGTTCCAGACGGCTGCAGAAGCACATCTGAAAGCGCGAGATTCGACAACCGACTTTGTGTTCGATGGCCAGTCAAAAGCCGCTGCTCCGAGGATGACCGGAGTTCACAGATGGTTTATAGCGGCTTGACGAGGTCAGCAAGGTATTGTGGTTCATTTGTGGCAAGCAATTTGTGTTTTTTTGATTGCGAGCTCATAACAACGTGTGACCTCGCAGCCGGAATGCTACGAGTTAAAATCCTGGCTGGATGATGTTGGTCCAGTCCAATGCTTCATTTCAGCCAGAAGTCCACAACACTATTCCAATAATTATTTTGGCCACGCCACATCCATCTTGCCTCGTTTATGGTCCTAAACATGTTCATGGGATTATTGTACTAGAGAGTAAACTAATATAATATTATTATGGACAGGCATAGCTTGTACTGAAGGGTTAGTTGGGCGCCTTACATCAACAATTCCTACTCTAAGCTGGCCCAGCAACGTTCTGGACTAGTGAGAAATTAAGCTTAGAATAAGTACCACTCCAAATTTCAAATGCTGTACGTACTTCATCTAGATTTGAAGTGTTCGTAACTGCAAAAAAAAATACTAAATAATCGCTTAAGTAGCTTACTTCAGCGATTTTCTTGCTGTGGTTGTCACCACCTGATGACGGACGCTTGTGTTGCGCCCGAAACGTCGTGATTTAAATAAAAAAAAAAAAAATCTTATTTATTTATTTTTTATTTTAATTTATTTTCTTTACCTACGTGACTTTCCTGAAAGAACCAAGAATATGTACTTTATCTACTTTCCTATCAAGAAAGCAAGGCACTTTCAATGTTATAAATGAAGCATTGTTCAAGACATTTCTCGTGTCTGTGCATTCCATGCCCAACAATAATACTTCTGTGTTCTGGGACTAACACACGAGTAGATGCCCGTTCAGCACATTAACCGGGCCACATTGCACAAGAAGGACAGTATGCACATTTACAAACTTTAGTTTAGAAAGTTTTCCAGCCACATTATAAACTAACAAATAAACGATCTGTAATTGACCAGGTAAGACCCATTGAGCTACATGGCTCATTTTCAGAAGCGACCTGAAATTTATAGCAGCCAAATACCCTAAAACAAATGTTTGTAAATGTGTAGGGAAAAGCGGAGGACCCTGAGAAAAATCCACGCGACGACAGTGAGAGAGAGTGATATGCAATCTCCAAATATACAGATGCAGGGTTGAGATCGAACCCACGACCTCCCGTATACCAGGCGAGGGAGTTAACATCTCTCCACCGTGGCGAGACGCTTCACGTTGCTTAACCCCATCCCTTTAAAATCAGAGATTGTTGTGAACATCCAAGTTTGCTCACCCTACCCCTTGGCAATCCAAGACGCACTTCACGCAATCTTTCTTGCGACATTCCAAAAGTACAAAAAAAGTGCCTCGTGCACACGGAACGATATCGTCTCTGTCGACGCTAAAGCCCCGTTTTTAACTGTGCGTGGTCGGCTGCTGGGGTCTTCTCTTCCCGCGAGCATCAATCTCGTGCCTCTTTTCTCGTCACATCCACGCATCTCACTCCACCGCATCGTCCCGTCTCGGGAAACGCGGATTTAAAAGCGGAAATTCTGCATCCGAGCTACATTTGTCATCATCATTATTATCACAAATGCAGTCGATTGTCTCCTCCACAGATTGAATCACAGATATGAATATTTAGAAACTACAATGCATGCCACCTGTTCCAAATATAATGACCGTTGATGTGTTGCAGTCAGTGACTCGGAAACCGGGTGATATAAACAGAGCAATAACCTTTTTTCAATATGTTTAAGTGAAATGGATTAGTGACACATACATTTTTAATTGACAAAACAAACTCTGAAACTAGTCAAGAGTGTTCCTGCTATGTTTGGGCAGTGAAAATTACTCCTACATATATATTACTTCTTTGTCGTTACGAGCTATGATCAATCCACTGCTGGATGAAGGCCTCCCCAATCCACTACCACCACATCGAACTTGCCGAGCCTCCCGTACTGCAACATCTGTGAACAAGATCTTCGTAACTTATCGGATTCCTCCAGTGTAAATAAAGATTCCGAACGATCCTGCAAAGTAATAGCCTACCCGACAACTGCGCATTAGCAGTTTTAATTCTGCATATCCCTCAGTAGATGTTCCACCTCAGGCATGTTCAAAATCTTTCGGCTGCCACTCCAATATTGTTCTTAAGCATCGTCCCTGCTAGCCACGACTTGTCGTCTTGCACAAGTCCACCGATTCTTCTGCTCACCTTTCAGCCGCTTAAGTTTATGAAGTCCACGTGTTCCTCTCGGTCTGGCTTCTTTGCACGCTTTTGAGTTTTTGTTCAGTATTTTTCATGTAGGACTTATTACGCAACAATCAACCAAGACCGTACAACATTATCCATTTTGTACAAATGTATGACGACCACCCCCCTCTCCACCCTCATGAAGGTAATAAATGAAAGATTACTCTGGTTTTAAGCTCACAAGTCTCATCGGCAGTGTGTGGCCTGTTCAACACTTGTAGCTCGGGTTTTCCTCATGTCATGGGGAAACAATAACAATATAAATAATATACAAAAGCTCTCCACGAACACCTTGGGACATGTTCAGAGCAATACAGAAATATTGTACAAAATTCATAAACCGTTATGAAACACTGGCACAAATTCCCAGTGGGTGGCAGCCTAAAAAATGTTGTGCAATTTAAACTTTTATGTGACACGCCAGACCTTCGTCTGTTTGCAATGTGACTAGGAAATGCCCATGACATTTCACGCAATAAGTTTTCATTTTACAAGGACATTTCTTTTCAACTCTCACCTTAAAACATGACAGGAATAAATAAACATCCGTCCTTAAAAGGCTTTATGACTTCCTTAATACTCTTTGGTTCTTTCGGGAAAAGTCACGTAGGTAGAAAAATAAAATAGATCACGACGTTTCGATCGCCACACAAGCAAACGTCTTGCTTGTGTGGCGATCGAAACGTCGCCACACAAGCAAACGTCTTGCTTGTGTGGCGATCGAAACGTCGTGATCTATTTTTATTTTTCTACCGACGTTTCGATCGCCACATAAGCAAGACGTTTGCTTGTGTGACGATCGAAACGTCGTGATCTATTTTTATTTTTCTACCTACGTGACTTTACCGAAAGAACCAGAGTATGGATTCCTGCAGTCACAAAAGCTTCAAATCAAAATTGAACTTCCTTAATAATTTTCTGTTTACCCTTGGTGTGTGTATTGTGATTTGGTAGGGTGTTTTTATCACGAGGCCCTGCATGCTTTGATGTGGTTTTCAAAAATATGTTTCCCCCGTATGCATTTCATTTCTGTTCTTAGCTCTGTACCGCACTGTGTAAATAGCCGTTCGCCATTTCCTTCCCTCGCACCGTCTGATTAGCACAGTTGGCTACGTACGGTGTGAAAGAAGTTCAGCATATGTACGCTACCATTATTACAACTGTCGCGGCAGCGTTGAGCGCTGTAGGCGATTGCCACGACTTGTAGCCTGTAATGACGGCCTCGAGTCAACAGGGAGCAGAAGGGAGTCTAATGGTGATGAGTCAGGCCGTTGGGCCAACGTGAACCCCAAGGCAGCTCGGGACCAGAGGTACAAACCCCCAGACGCCACAGGAAGGGGGCTGGAGGATAACGTCACTTCCCCAGGCTCCTCCAGACGGTTCCAGAAGGGAGGAGTGGCTGGAGCGGAGTGAGCCAGAGACGAGTATAAAAGACGGTCCCCTGAACGGGACCGGGAAGTCGTCGTCGTTACCTGAAGATTCAAGAGCCACCTTGAAGACCCGAAGCAAAGAGCCCAAAAGGGCAGAACCCGAACCCCTGGCTAGGGTTGGGTCAAAGCTTAACCAGCGAGGAAGTTAGAGCGTAACCGATCATTCACGACAAGGGCATCGTCTTTATCATCGCAGTCACCGCCTCCCCGACGGGCGCCTTACCTCCGCGCTGCAGCAGCATGGAGGCCTGTGCGCCCGTGGCACACTCCTTGAGCAGTGTCACCACGTCCATGTGCGAGCACTCGCGCACCGAGCGCCCGTTGATCTCCAGGATGAGGTCTCCCTCGCGCAGCTCCAGGCCTCGGCGGCTGTCCAGGATCTGCTTGATGCGCTGCCCGCTCGGGCTGTCGGCGATCGTGAAGCCGAAACCTGCGCGCCCTTCAGTCCGTTGCAAACAAAGACGCCGGCACCTCCGATTTGGCACGGTTGGCTACGCGCGGTGCCAATAAAGTTCAACATACGTACACACGTACAAAGATCCCCCCCCCCCGTCTTAAGTCAAGATCCCCCGTGTAGCCTGTAACAGAATGTTGGGGCAGGCGCTGTTAGCGGAGCACCGATGAAGACCAGCACTGTGGCGCATGAGGGGGTTTTGTGGCCAACACCACTTGCCGGCTGCCTTTTTCTCCAAAGCGGTGATGTGTTACACATCGCACCAGGTACTCATTCGAGGACAGAGTTGACCTAGGGGAGGCCCCCAGGACGTGTTCAGATAATCGACACTGGTCTTGGCCGTGAGCGAGAATCCAACACGCGTTGCCAGGTTCGTAGCAGTGCGCTAACCGCGAAACACACACCCACACACACACGCTCGCATCCACCACAGACGTTTAGTGTTACACACCACAGGGGCACAGCGATCGATCAATCAATCAATCAATCGTTATTTATCTACAAAATCTCACGATACAATACCGTGGAGCATTATAGATAAAAAAATACATAACACTGCGCTACAGCAACGCATAACGAGTGTGTGTACGTCATTGTTTTTGGTGTTGAACGAGGCCTCGTGATTTAAAAATCGAGCGCTTTCGCTAATAACTTCCCGTAATCCGGCAGCATTAGTTCAACAACCCTGACCCCGCTGATGACAGCCAGAAAGTTAAAAGCAGTTCCGAGTTTGTTTGCTCAAACAAATGCTGATTTATATTACTGGCCTAGGAAGCCAAAGGGGCAGATGAAATGAAAATATTTATAATTCATGGCATGGCGCAGGAACAGAGTTCCGCTTATATTTTATTTAAATAGCGTCCCTTCACATCAACCAAGGTGTCTCGGAACGTTTGCACGAAATAAAATGTACGTGAATTGTCGATATATAAAAACAAGACATTTAGTTTAAAATATGAACAAAGCAACATAACCTTGGGCATATCCGCCGCTCATTTTATGCGGGCGAAACGTAGTTCCCTTTAAACATTTATCATCGCATCTCTAGGCACACCGGTACATGGCAGGCCTTTTTACCGTCAAACTTCAAGCCGTTCAAAGTCACTCCCACCTGCTCACCTCTAAATTCACCGCCACATATTTACCTGCCGTGATAGATTCATTACGTTGGACACTGACGTAGAAAACTAAACGGGAGCTGCAAAATGCGCAAAGATTCACGGAGGAGGTGGTTACCGAAAAATCGTACTGACAGAATGAAGAACACACGATAAAAAAAAAAATCGCAGGACAACGCTAACTTACGGAATACAGAATCAAGCTGTGGACCCACTGGCAACAACCACGAAAAAATGAAGACTCGGAAAGTTGACCAAAAGAAAGTCAATTGACTTGGGAGAGGAGTGGGTCACTCCGCGAAATGGGTCGACGGGCTGGTGGGCTTGAGCCCAACAATGTGGACTCGCGGACGGAACCACCGCACACCAAAATCGCTCTGCGCCCACCGAGAACTTACGCAGCGGTAAAGCTGTTTAACACGTAGGGCTTTTGCGACCAATATCATCCAAAAGGTTTTTTTGGTTAGATCGCGTAAATGTATGCGTCTTTAAACCCGCCACCACCCGACACAGCCAACTAGTAAGGGTTGTCACGTAAACAGAACGTGGCCAATTCGTCACTAGTACAGCACATCCGTGTGTTGGAGAGCCAGGCCACAACATTTACAATCTGAGTACGACGTTTCGCCAGTAATTACAACGGAGCTTCATCAGGCAATAGCCAGATTTGTAGAGAAGTCCACCTGTTTCGTTCCTTATACAGAGGCGTAGATGTGGTGACCACACTTCTGCGCTCTTGAGTCAATGTACATTATGCATGCGCATTATGTGAGCCCATTAATCTCGTCCTTCCCGTCCATTGCGTGTATTAAAATAGCCCAGACTAAATCTTGACATAAAACTTTCGTGACTGCAGGAATTCATATTCTTTGGGTCTTGTGTCGCGATCGAAACGTCGTAGTTTTTTGTTTTATTATTTTTTGAGCCTATCTACGGGACTTGACCGAAAGACCCAAAGAATATGAAAGCCCAGACAAATTAAAGAATCTATCGAAATTGAAAGAAATAAAAAATAATTTTAACCGTTTGGATAGCGACCGACTTAGTGCTGCGTGGAAGCGAATAATCAAATAACATTGTTTAAATGCACGCTTATACAGCCCACCTTACTTCAATAGGGACATGGCCGAGTGGGGGGGGGGGGGGGAAGCACGATTACTAAACCCCCCACCCCCTCACCCCGCCGCTTGCCGCGGAGGTCCACCGGATTTGAACCCCGGCGGGCCGCCCCCCGCTCAACGCCGCCGCTGCCACCTTCGTCACGCGAATCCTCCTTACCCTTGACGATCTTGACGGACACGAGCTCGGGCTGCGAGCCGACGGACGACGTCTGCGAGCCGCTGTCATCGTAGTAGCCATTGGCCTTGGCGATGTACGTGGGCGGCGAAAACGGCCGGCGGTGCGGGTCGTAGGTCGGCGGCGACTGCGCGTGGGAGCTGTCGGCGATGTCCGGCATCGATTTGGACGAGCCGGGCCCCCCGCGGTCGGATGGCCGGCCGTCCTGGTAGGGCGGCACCTCCAGGTCCGGGTCGTCGGGGTCGTAGGGCAAAGGGTAGCCGCGGCACAGCTGAAGGTCGACGGACTCGCCCACTGGCACCGACTGGAACATCCTCACCACCTCCTTTTGGGTGAAGCCGAGCACACAGGTGTTGTTCACGTACACAATGACGTCACCTGCGGAGGTTTGGCGACGGGGGTGGGGGAGAGAGGAAAGCATCACCGCAGAGCCCGGGGGGGGGATTCATGCTTAGGAGAGATGGCCAAGTGGTTCAGCCGTCGGAGCCCTGCGCTGGTACTGCGGAAGCCATGGGTTTGAATCTGGGTTTTTGGCCGCCCGTAAATCAAACTGGGTTGTGAAGCCGACTGTGCAACTTTTAAGTGTTATCTTCTTGTAGGTACGGGGTTTCCTCCGGGGAGTTTGGGTTTGCTCCCACATGCAACAAAACCTCTCGTTAAATTGGGTCGGCCAATCATCCCAATGCAGGACTTTCCTGATCAGAATTTATTTTTCTTATTCATCCTTTCCCTCAATGTTGATCCAAAACGTACACAAATATTGTTGGTATCACCTCGTGAGACAGCATCCGTCTGGATCCATCGCAAAGCGTCGCATGCCCCTTGTCGCTAGAAAGGTCCCACATAAGCGAATATCACAGAGCTCCCTCTGAGAGCTCTTCAAATGAGTATTTATTTTACGACTTGCCAACAACACCTTAAAACATGACGCAAAATATTAATTAAGACATGGGCTGAACATCCTAATACACACCGCGTGTGAAAAATGGTTTGAGGCTGGGGCTTTGTCAGCTTGATAAATAAATCCCATTATTGTTTGATAAAATTATTGACATCCAACTGTCGATTATTGTGGTATCATCACGCACAATGTTTAACGGTTGATTGGCCTACTAATGTATATACTATTTGCAAGAATAGATTTTTAAAGTGAATATATAGCTGAATGCCATTGAACTCTGGGAATTGAGATATCTTATTGAAGAGGAGACTGCCATTTTCTTGGATAAATAAAGATCATTATAGTTTATTAGTCCATTATTATTATTATCCAGAGAGACGGCACAGCGGCTAAGAGCTCGCGGCTTGCCATTGGAAGGTTACAAGTTCAAATGCTGGCAGGGGGTTGTTGACTCAGCCCTGCATCCCCCCGGGGTTGACGACATGAGCACCACTTTGTGGGCAGTGAACTCGTGTCATCCTATCAGTTAACTCACCCCCCACCACCGCCGCCATCGTTATCAACAGCAGCCTCGATCAATCCACTGCTGGATTAAGACCTCATGGTCCTCAGATAGGGGAAACAATCATATTCTTGGTTCTTTCGGTAAAGTCACGTAGATAGAAAAAAAAAGTAATAAAATAAAAAAATAAAATAAAAATAAAAGTAAAATAAATTTAGATTTAAAGCTTTCGTGACTGCAGGGATTCATCTTTCTTGGTTCTTTCGGTAAAGTCACGTAGAAGGGAAGTAATAAAATAATAAAAATAAAACATAATAAAATAAAATTATAATCACGACGTTTCGGCCACATAGCAAACAGCCGTCCTCAGGTGAAAACCAGGTCCGTCGAGGCGACAGAGTCTGAATGAAACAGCTCACGAGCTTGGAGCAAGTAAAATAATAAAAGTAAAAAAAAACAAAGATAAAAATAAAAATAGCAAAATAAAACAATCCGCCCGGCTCCTGCACACGAGGCAATCTCATTGCTCCACCTCCACGGCAGACGTCCGCCACCTGGTTGCCGCTCCGTTGTCATCCTTCTGCCACCGACCGTCGGCCTTAGGAATGTGGCGTTTCCCCATGAGAACCACGCCACGCTTGTTCGAGCAGGCAAACGTGCAACGCCGATTGCTATGATGTAAAGGTGTGCTGGGAATGTGTTTTGGATGAAAGATCGCCAGACTTTTGGAATTTTTAGGACAAACTCCGGATCCTGCGAAATATCGGATCGCTAACATGACCTAATCACTTAACACGTCTTCGTGCCATCAAAAATGATGTCACCAGATGTCAGGTGACACCACTGTTGGTGGTAAAGTGCGAAATCACTTCCGGTGATGTGACTTCTAAAAATATCTATCCGGATTGTCTAAATTCTCAAATTAATCCAATGACCGGAAACACATGCCCCTAATGTGCAGACTTCGCTCCAGGTCCTCAACGATCAGATTATATTTCCGATGCATGGCCCGCGCATCGGTCAAAAGGTCAATGTTCGTAGGGCCCTTTAATTGAGCTGCGTAACCAATACGTCCAACGGCACAGGGCCCAATGACACGTGGACAAAACGCGCAAGCGTGACAAACCAGGGACGTAAGTCATCCCCCCCCCCACTCCCTTCGGTTAAAAATATCCAGACGACTGTCATCCCTCACGGCCGCATCAGTCGCAAAGCTATTAAAATAACAATCTGGTGGATGAATAAGCTGCAGTCGATTTCAAGATTATTTCTCAAAGTCGAGTTTTGAACAGAAGAACAAGAGCTCTTTTGGAGAGTGACCTTCAGTGACCTTCAGGACGGCACCGGTAGGTGGCTTCAAACAAGCCGAAAGCTGCAAAATATTTGACCTCCTTTTTTCTGCAACGGTCAGAAAAATTATCCCCGAAGTTTGAAATAAACGCACGGGGATTCCACGCGGCAATCGCAGCGGTTAGCGCGCTGTACTCCGAACCCGACGACCTCAGCTCGATGCTCGGCCACGGCTAATGCCATTGTCAAGTTCGGTCTTCACCAGAACTGGGTTAAGCACATCCCTGCCACCTCCTCCACCTTTCACCATCCCACACTAACCAGTGCGGTGAAGTACGGTCAAACAACCCCCCCAGGTATAAGATGGTATGAGGAGGCCTTTCATCCAGCAGTGGACTGTACACACAATAGTAACGAGTGAACAGTACACTTATCAGATAAGTTTTTTGGCTCCCGTCATAGAAACGTGAAATTTTGCAGCACTGTTTCATGGTGATGAGGGACACTAAGGATTCAGAGAGGCCTCCTCTGCATTTGACTCGACTTTTCTTGGAAGATAACCACTTATTTTTAATATTTCTGGTGTTGCACGATGACAAAACGACGTGGCTTGGCTCGCAGCGACGGACTGGGACAAAAAAGAAAAATCGGCCAAACCATTTGTAAACACATTCGCCCAAATTCCGACTATGGGTAATCATTTTTGTTTGTTAAATGGCTTGTGCGACGAATTAGACACTCGCAGCTAGATTTTCAGGTGTGACGTACAAGCGTTATTTTGCTGTGCAATCTCATGGTCCGTTTGGGCTGGTCCAAAAAACAAATGGGCCGGTGATGAAGGCTGCCGAATATGGGACTCAATGCCAACTGAGAGCGTAAATAAGCAATGAAGCATACACATTAGAGATAATAACATATTTTTAAATCCTTTATATTAAGTTCACTTGCTTGCTTGCGCGCTTACGACCATGCAAATCTTTCGGTCGTTTTTTAACCCACTTCCCGTGATCCAATCGAGCTGACATTTTGCACACAGACTCGTTGTGCGAGACAATTAATTTTCCGTGACATTTTTTTTCCAAAATGTAACACTTTTTAGAAATGTTTATTATTATTTAATTACCAATTGCTTAATGGTGGCAGGCAATCATCTGACCCATAGGTGGCAGCCATTTCAAGCCAGAGGACGAGAGGACTCTAGCCGCCACGCATATAAAGGATTTATAGTGAAAAACTTTGTTTTTACGGGTTAATTTTTTATGTCCCCACCGGCCCTCTTAATAGACTGGCCCAACCGGCATTTGCCCTACGGACTGCTGCCCTGTAGCCAGTCAGAGCCCGCTTGCTCGCTCGGAGATATTTTCGTGAATTCCTCGCCGTTTGTAAACGCGGAAAGGAGACCTGCGGTGGGAACGGCTGCTCCGACGAGAGGCTCGTACCCCCAGCAACGCGTTGCCGAGTAACGGAATCACGGCCGGCCTGACAGTTCACAACATGTTTTAGTCCATCGGCGTTTCATCTTCCCAGACCAAATATTATCCAGCGGCGACTGTTGAAGGCGAGCAACACTCTGGGCCAGCTTTGACCTTTCTGGTGCTCATAAGCAGCGTTCAGGCTCGCTAAACAAATTCTGCTGGGAGTGCCAGGATGTTATTGGCAAGAGCAGTTCATATAAAATATGGGATCCTCTCCCCGTTCGGCGCAAAAAGCAAGAGCACATGGGGGTCACGAAAAGGCTATAGGGGAGGGATGGGAAGGAGTGGAGGGGATGGGCAACGCGGAAGAGGTTAGACTTCGACAGAGGAATGATGAAAGAAATTACCCGAAAATTACTCAACTGGGATAACACGCAGCGAATATGGTTCCCCTCCACTGCGAAATCTATGTGTGTATGGTGAACTTCATTCGAACCGTACATAGCCAACCTTGGTAACCAGAAAGGTCTACATACGTATGTTCAACTCTTTCACACCGTACGTAGCCAACCACGCTCATGGGAGGCGAGCGAGTCGGAGGAGTGCAGGGAGGGGGGGGGGGGCGCGCTCACCTCTTCGCATGCGCCCGTCTCGCGTGGCCGGTCCGTCGGGCACGAGTCCGCGCACCTGCAGGAACTCGCGTGGCGTGTCTCCGCCCACGATGGTGAAGCCGAAGCCCTGGCTCGTCTTGAGTAGCGACGCGCGCACAGAGGAGCCACGCAGCTCCCGCGGGTCGCGCGTAAACACCCACACGCCTGGGCGACGTCGGGGCAGGATGAGGGGGGGGGTAGGACGAGGAGGGGCAGGGCAAGGTCGGGCAGGGCAGAAGCAGGGAAAGGGGCAGGAGGCAGGGCAGATACGTGGGTAGAGGTCAAGACAAAAAGCCCCAGTGTAGCGTGTTTGGGCACGTGATGTGACAGAGGGTGGGTGGCCAGCACCACGCCCGGCTGCCTTTGTCTCTCTAGCAGCAATGTTTACACACCGCACCAGGTACTCATTTTGCTGCTCAGTTGACCTAGGTTAGGCCCAGGACCAGTTCAGATAATTGCGACTGGTGTTGGCCATGAGCGTTTCCCGCTCATGGCACACTCACTGCTACACCACCGCTCCCCACAATACAAAGACAAAACACACAGACACACGGGCACTCATAACCAGACGTTGGTACGCACACCGCCATGAACTCTTTGGGTCCCGAAGAACCCTATACATGATGTACGGATAGGGAAGCAGACGCTTAGTCCATTGCGCGGGAGACATTTATATTCTGCCGAACACCACTGACAGCCTGGCTCTGTAGGGTTCGAGGGCAGCTCGCGAGGGCAGCTCGCGAGGGCGGCCGCTGCCCATCGCATATATTTGGAGCTCCATTACCTTGCTCGGGCGGATGTGAATCGTGGGAGGAGGTGGTGACGAGGAGGTCGTTGGCACTGTGAGACCTCTGGGGGTGTGGGCTCCCGCCTCCAGGCTTCGAACGAGGCAGTGTCGATGAAGAGACGTCCGCTGAGAGAGAACAAATAGAACAGCATAATAAGTATAACCCATAAAAACAAAAATTTTCACTCTAAATCCTTTATATGCGTGGCGGCTAGAGTCCTCTCGTCCTCTGGCTTGAGATGGCTGCCACCTATGGGTCAGATGATTGTCTGCAGTATTAAACAATTGGTAATTAAATATTTAATTTGTTTTCCCTAAACAGTGTAAAATTTTGGAAAAAAATTTTCACGAACATTAATTGTCTCGCACAACGAGTCTATGTGCAAAATGTCAGCTTGATTGGATCACGGGAAGTGGGTTAAAAAACGACCGAAAGGTTTGCACGGTCGTAAGCAAGCAAGCAAGCACGCAAGCACGCAAGCAAGCAAGCAAGCGAACTTAATATAAAGGATTTAAAAAGACAAAGATTTGCCGTGTGGCCCACACAGGCTGGTAGTGAACACCTCTGTAGGCCCACATGACGCACGAGGGGCTGGTGTGGCCTGCACCATGCCAGACTGCGCAGTGCCGAGATTTCTCCCTCTACGCCACCTACCCACGTTATCCCCACCGCAGGCACCCAGTTGTAGTGGTACCCAATTATACTTGCTGGGCGGACAGAGGCAGGGTGATTTTATAAAGTTTGCCCATTGTTTTAACTGTAGAGCCGGGAGATGGAATCAAATCGGCAGCCTCCGGAATGCAAGTCCGGTGTGATCACCACTACACGACGGTAGCCTCCTGCCGTTTTTCAGTAAAAAAAAAATCGAAAAACGTTACGTGTTTATCGCTCTAGACCAGTGGTTCTTAACCTGTGGTGCACGCACACCCCGGGGATGTGAGATGCCCTTTCTGGGGGTGCGAGACATGCCACGTTTTTTTTTTTAAGGTAAATCATTGAAACACAAATTAAATACGGACGCGTGAGTACAACTACTTTGTTTGATCAAACCTATGTATTTATTAAAATTCTAAAAAATGTTTACGATTGCAAACCAAAGGGGTGCAAGGCTGCAGTAAAGGTTAAAAAGCACTGGTCCAGACGTTTCCATAAATGCGGCAAAATCTGCGGTCACCGTTTTTTTTGTTTAAACCATTTTTGTCCAACGCGGTTACTGGCAATGGCAAAAAAAATAAAACCCATTCTATGGACCCGACGACAAAACGGTCCTTCTTTCGATTCATAACGCACGTTTACCGTAAGGGATTTGACACGGCAATTCGGCTGTCGCACGGAGGAGACGTGCCACTGCCACAGATTGCCGTTACTGACCACGTGCGGGCCCCCCGAGTTCCATCAAAAGCTTTCGTTTGCTTCGGCGGGACCCCGCAAAATTGCTTCAGCCGACCCTGGGCATAATCTAGACACATCAATCACCTGCCTGCCTCTCACACGAAGATTACAAAAGAAAGCCCCCCTCTACCTCCCTCCCCCCCTCTCCCACCCCTGCCCCCATCGCCTGGAGGAGGTTTCAGCTCAAGACACTGACGGAATAGTGGAAACTTGGCAACGATTACTGATGCGAGTGGTCCTAACACAATAAAAAAAATACAATTTTAAATCAAAATTTTTTAATGCAAAAAGTGATTTGCACGCAGTGGCACAGGTCTGTGGCAGGCTGCGAGGCACGTGAATTTAAATTTGACGTGAACGCCAACCATTGCAACGATTTCGAAAAAGCCGATGACGACGATGGCCCATTGTTGTTTTTTTCTTTTCTTTTGTGCGCTCCGCAGTTGCTCGTGAATAACGGCGACCGCTGCGTTTATCTGGCGCCGCGTGGGTGCGTGGGTGCGTGCGTGCGTGCGAGAGGCGGAAAACAAAATCAATACCAAAAACACACCCATTATCGCGAGTCATCATCAACGAACAGATCAGTCGGGCCAATTTTCCCTTCTAAAAGATCCTTTTGAATGACAAAAAAATATATATATAGAACAGCGGAGGGCGGTTTTGTCTTTTTTTTTGCTTTGCACAGCCAAATGCCCACCAATGCCGGTGGTGACACGTTGGCCAATTGGCTTGGCTTTCCCGAGACCCCACTCACCTCGCTGACTCTGCCTTCTCCTCTTCGCTTCCACGACCGGATTTTCGAACTGAGTTCTTTTGTTCAAATGGCTGTACGGCGGACAAACGGGGAGGGCATCACGCCGATTCAATTTCAGTCACAGCAGCCGCGGAAGAGACAATAACTGCGAAGCGCTCGTGCACCAGTGACGTCACATCGAGCGGGAGCAATTGCCCTGCGGAGGCAGTTGAAGTGTACGATGCGTGTGTGCCTCTGCGCGTGTGCTCGTGTGTGTGTGGGGAGCGGTGGTGCAGCGGTTTAGTGCGCTGCGCTGAGAACCCGGCAACCAGCAGGGTTCAGTTCCTGCTCACGGCCTACACCAGTGACGATTATCTGAACCGGTCCCGGGCCTCCCCTGGGTAGACTCGGCCTCAAATTAGTACCTGGTGCAGTGTGTAAACATTACCGTGAGGGAGAAAAAAAGGCGACTGGGCGTGGTGCCGGCCACCTCGTGTGCCGTGACGGCCTTCATTTGGTGGTTACTAACAGCACTTGCCCCAACAGTCAAGGCTTCATAGGGAATCTTTGTCTCTGTCCGTGTAAGAACTGTACGTGCGTAGCACGTGTGGTTTGCATGCGTGTGTGGATGTCATTTGCAATACGGGGGCAACGGAGGGAGGCGTAGTTGTAAGCGCAGTGTGCGATGAACGCAGAGACTTGAGTTCGATTCCCGGCCACGGCTAACTTCAGCAGCAGCAATTATCCGAACCAGTCCTGAGATAAATGGGCCATAGTCGACTCACCATACCCCGACCTGACCCGACCCGACCCGACCTCACGCGACCTTCGGCTGCCAGGGCCCAGCCGCCCAGCCGCCGTGCACGCGGCTCACGAGAATACTCACTCGACGTAATAGACGCCGTGCTGCGGGTCATCGATCCTCTCCCATCCGTACGGAAGCTCTGCAACGAGACACAAGACCGTTTACATTGGACGCCCATTAACGGCGTGCTGGCCCGGCCACGCCGCCAGCGTAAACGGATCCACACGTGGGTGGGCGCGCACCGCACGCACAAAAGCACCGTCTCTCTATAGGAGGTGCGATTTGTTTTCCCTCTATCCCCCCTACCTTCATTTCGTGCTTCGTTTTCACCGGGGGGAAAAGTCTCACCGAGTCTCAAGAATCTTTTTTTCAGGAGGGTCCCTGCCAAGCTTTGCGCAGTTGGCGGGCGGCGGGGGGGGGGGGGCGATGTTGCTTCGTGTAAATCCCAATTGAGTAATTTGTAGGTCTAATTTTTCAGCATTCAGATGGTTTGGGCCAATGCCGGTTACATTGTATGGGGCAGTCGTTTTTTTTAGCTATGGGAGGAAAGCGGAGAACCTGGGGGATAACCAATGCAGAACAAGGAGAGGGCATGCAACTCCACACAGAAAGCCAACTCTAGAATCAAACCCGGGCGCTTCTTCCCGTGAGGCACAAGTGTTACCACTGCGCCACCCTGCCAGGATATTTGAGACGTTTCATCATAACCAGCAACAATCTAGACACCAGACTTAAGTTAGATGATTTTAAATATATTTTAATAGCCTAGGTTCATCATTAGCTATGGTTAATCTACTGCTGGATGAAGGCATCCTCAAGCAGTTCCCTACGGGGTTGTGATATATCATCGACCACTGGCACACATACTTACAAATAAAAGTTTGTAAGAGATGAATGAACAATAAAATACCATTATGCCTGGCCTCGCAGACTCTCAAAAACACAACAGTTGAATCAATAGAAATGTATTGGGAGTCTTCCAGTTCTCATGAATCAAGGCCTAAAAAAAAAAAGAGCATTTATGATTAATGAAGGCCATTTACCACAATGGGAAAGCTTCACCGAGACTGCATTAAGTAGCAAAACGCATATCAGGAGAGTCGGGCCAAGCGAGAAAGGACTTTGACAAAGCTATTCTCAGCGAGGTTACGAAGATATTCTCCGACCATAAATAGAGACCCATGAGCAAAACCAGAGCAAATGCTCGCAACTCAGTTTTACTGATGACCAAGTCTCATTTTATTTTGTTATTATTATTTGGTCGTACAGGGCATTTGCTAATCTACTGCTGGATGAAAAGCCTTCCCATGCTGTGTTAGTAATGTTTTTTTGTATTATCACATTTCACTGCGCTGGTTAATGCAGGTTCAGGAGCAGGAGGGATGAGCGAGGAAGAGGGACATGGACCGGTGATTGAGATATAATTCGCCGCTGTTCTCACTAAATGAACTATTAAGTATTTTTATTTTACCAAGTAAGGCCCACTGAGCTATGTAACGCTTTTTCAGAAGCGACCTGACTAACACAAATGATAGCTCGGCGAAGTGGCTCATCACATGGAAATTTATAGCAGCCAAATCATCTAAATGCATGTTAATTCTAAATATGGAGGACCCCGAGAAAAGGCCACACAACCACGGGGAGAACATGCAAACGTCAAATTAACAGGTGTCAGGGTCGGGATCGAACCCACAACCGCCTGTATACCAGGCAAGGTCGTTAACATCTCGCCACATTGGCGCCCCTTGACCAGGAATCAAACTCGTGCCGCTGAATTCACGGCGCAACAGAGTGCTTCACACGTCCAATGCCGATTCAATCGATTTGTGCGCCCAATGTTCCCAGGCAGGTGCCAGAGCATAACCCTAGGGGAGGCATCGGTGCAGGTTCATGAAGCATTTTCCCATAGATTTGAATAGCAGCACATAATTGAACCGGGGTCACCGGGTTCGTTTGTAACGTTGTTACATAAACCACCGTGATACTACTCCACGGCCACACACACACACACGAGCCCAAGGGACCCCTCGTACAGCCGTAGGGACCGTTAGGGTATGATGTGCTGTTAGCGAACGCCTATTAAGGATGGGAAAAGGACATGGAAGAGACTGTGTAGCCCAGCACCACATCCAGCCACTTTTGTCTCCCAGTTGCTGATGTACAACCAAAGTGCATTTTAGGCCGAGTACATTGATACTCAAAACAAACGATTGCTTTTCCAGGAAAGCCTCACGGAGTCGTCTCAAGGAGCATTTTTCAAGAAGGCCCTGCCAAGTTGTTGCAGTGGCGCGGACGATGTTGCAATGTGCAAATCCCAAGTGGATGTTTTCATCCATTGGGATATTTGGCCAATACCAGTTACGTCGTACGTTTTTGTTTTGTTTCACCGACCTCGGAGAGGACCAGGACAGGTTCAGGCAAATTACCACTGCCGTTATCCAGAGCGGGGAATTGAACTCGGGTTCGACGTGTTTGTATCAGTGCATGACCAAACTCGGCAGCACATTCGGTATGCATAATTTACCTCTTTGTATACTGTACCGAGATTGGGCACAATGCTAAAAGCAGTTTAAGGCAGCATTTAACAGGCGCAGGCTGTAAAATACCGCTGTGCTCCCAATTTAACCTCTGTGCTTGTCATCATAAGGATCATATTTAAATCAAGGTGCCAATAAGAGATAACGGATCCTTGCTCCATACTCCGAGGTCATCAACAACCAATTCAAATAAAATGCATCATAACGGTATGCATATTTAAACTACACATCGTTATTCACGGTCAAATGATCAAATATTAACTTTTTGCTCATCGAGCCTTTCTCTCTGCTGCGATGCGCTGAGAGATCTCCGCTGACGAATTCACACAGAACAGTATTCACATTCAGATGATACGAAATAGAGCGCAAGTATTGAGAGCACCTGGCTCATAACTCTCAGCTGCCACTCACTCTCCCTTGGCTACACCGATGCAGTCAAACACATCACGAAGCCCCCCAATAGTTAAACAATTTTCTTTCCGTGCCATCTGCAACACTGTCCATTGCAGCGTTCCTTTGTTGTTCCCGGCTATCCATCAGTCTGCGCCACCACGCAAGCTGTCCGTCTTCGTGCGTCGCGTTAGTGCGGAGGCGGTAGCGCATTAGGTTAATCGCACCGCACTATGAACCCAGCCAACCTCTGTTCGATTCCCCCACTCACGGCTGACATGAATGGAAAATATCTGAGCCGGGCTTCTCCTAGATCGACTTAGCCTTAAATGAGTACATACTGCAGTGTGTTAAAATCAGCAATGGTGTCCATACAAATCCTGGTGTGCCGTGATGGCCATTGATAGGTGCTCGCCAAAAGCACCTGCCTCAACAGCCTGCAAAAGCCTATATGGGGAGACTTGCATCATTATCTTCCTTGTAAAAAAACACACAAAAGTAGACTTCTGGTTACAATGGTCCATGGAAAAATGCAGCCCTTCGTCAAACTACTGCTGACTGCAGTTATCTGTACATCAAGTTGTTTTGGGGTTCGTATGATCATACTTCACCATGCTGGGCAATGCCGGTTGGTCAAAGGGCATCCCCCAGGGCCGGTTCACGCACGACCCGCTGATACGTCGCAAAAGTCCAGCAGTAAAAAAAATCAGATCACCGGGATCACAGTGCAGTCTGCTAACCACTGTCCCACCACTCCAACCCAATGGGCTCTTACCTGATCATGGAGGCAATCTGTATAGCACGGCAGCGTATGATGCTAAGCGCTGGTTAAATGAGCCAATGTCGGAATTTGCGAGTGGTGCAAATTCCACATTCCTACGGCGAGAGCGGTGGAAAGTCAACCCCATAGGGCGACCGCTGCTGACATCCCCATGTTCGGGAGACAAATGCCTCCTCCGCCTTAAACAAGAGTTGAGGTTGAGCAATGAAAGGGTAAAAAAAATAAGATGCCAACAGAAAAATCAACGGGGGACAAAATAAAGATCTGTGTAATTTTTTTGTTTGCTGTTGCAAATCAACGGACTAGAGCGCCATTAAACTTGTACAAACAGCGTGGGTAGCAGCGCTACCATCGCCGCGTCTTACAACATCGTTGGGTTTCCCGGCAACAGACGATCACTCCGCCTCATTAACGGCATCCCGCACGCATTTACCGAGAGCCAAAAAACAAAAGCACCGACGCGTATATAATACGTCCCGATGTTGAGTGGGAGATTTTATGCCTCGCCATTTTCACCCGCGTAGAGACCTCCGATTTAAAAAGACAAACATTTTTATTGGAAAGCCAACGAATGCGAAAGACAACGGAGACGATCCCTGGTGTTTGATCTTCCATGAAACGCGTGGTCCACCCTAAACACAAACCAATGGCAGATGCAGATACCGGATGCACAAATGGAAAATTAAAAACTCTGCAGTGGTGTGCGAGTGTTGTAATCCAGAACAGACCGTGCAACGTATAAACGAAGCAATGCCCCGATCCACAAATACGCAGGAGACGCCGCAGCGATACGCCACTCCGCTGCTCCCGATGCGGTTATCTGGCTTGACCACCTGAACGTGAGAAATTGTAATTTTTTGCTCTGCATCTGCCGTACGAAAAGAAAGAAGAATTGGAAACCGCAGTTCCTCTTCAGCGGTTATCCTTCGTCGACGCACCGGGAGCCGAGCGCGCCGCCTGTTTTGGCGAGCGAGCGGTGGCGCTAACGGCACAGCTGCCCGCCCACCCGCGTGCGTGCGTGCCAGCGGGGCGACATCAACGGAGACTTTGCGGAGCGAGCGTGCGGCACACGGGATGCGTGGCGCGAGCCCCGCGGTCGCCCTGGTTAATACTGCGGGCGCGTTAAGCCGTTAGAGAGTACGCACGTGTGCGCCCCCGGCCGCTTCGTTCGTGCGGTGGACGTTCGAGATCCGCCGATCCCGGACGCGGACATTTGAAATGTGCATGTGTTTATTTTATTAACACCCCGCCCGATTTGATGAATTTGGAGAACGCACATTGATAGCCATGCGCCATACGGATTCCGCGACCGCCGCACGTACTACCGATCCGAGTTCATTCGATATTGTGGCAGCGACGAACAACAACGTGGTGGTGGCTACAAAACCGGGGCCGATCACTTGGCGAGGGGGAAACGAAACGTGTAAGGATTAACAAATGTCACAGCTACAGATTATCCGTGGAGCGCTTGCTCACAGGTCTTGTTCGTGTGGCGCCTGAAAAAGGGCCGGAGAGAAAGCGCACTCACCAGACGCGGCTCCCGGCGCCTTCCAAACGGTTCCACAGTTTTTCAAGAAGCGGTTGCCACGAGAGCAAATTTTTGTTTTTTGTTAACAACAATGCAAACGGGAATTTGCCGTGAATGCGGATGATATCAGCTGGCGGGCAATGAGTTTTTTCTGGGCGGGGATTAAAGCCTTGGGAACATCGATAGATCACCGCGAGCGTCGCACTTCAAGGCGACCACATCGAGAAACAAGAAGAGTTTCATCAAGGTCACCCCCGCTGCCTTTTCTGTCACGCCGCAGACTTTTTGATCACCTACCGTTTGGCCAGCACTTCTCTCTCTCTCTCTCTCCAAGCTCCCACAGATATTTAACATCTATTAGACCGCTTACTCAACCCTGAAATTGTAATTAATTTATTGCATGTGCGCACGTGTGTGTGTGTGTGGGTGTGCGTGTTCGCACATGAATGTGAACGCAGAGAGCACACACGCAATCCAGCCCTTGCGTACACAAAGCACGTTAACAGTAACAGGCGCGATAGCCAAGATGTTTGTTGCCAGACAATTGCTATTTTTATAAAAAAAAATCTGTTCTCTTACCCAGAATTTAATAATTCAACACGACGCTATTCACAAAGTGCCTTTTCTGGGAAGTTCACTTTTTTTAGCCCACTCAGCATTTCAAGAAGTGGGGATGTAAGCAAAAAAATAAATCAAAATTCCCGACAACAGCGCCTTTATTAGTGGTCATCTCTTCCACAAAGAGCCTCTTCGCTGCCTCTCGGCCATGCCACAGCCAAGGCTGTCCACCGAAATCAGCGGAGCGTTAGCAGGGCGGCGGGGGGGGGGGGAAACTCAAATAAAGAAACAGATTCCATTCGTTCTGGATCGCGGGGACTCGCGAACACGTCCGCGAGGCAAGGGACGGGGTTAACGCTTTGACTGCGGCGCCGAAATGTGCGGCAAGAAAACGGCCGAGAGGGGAGGGAAGCGCGTAGGAGTCTCCGGCGAGCAGCCGCATCATCACTGCGAATCCACGCCGGCATTTAACTCGCGGGTGGAATTCGCCGGTTGAGCGCTATTATTTATAAAATCGGGTTTTGCGGTTCCTTGCGCCCACCACCCCCGCAACGCACGACGTACGGCGGAGACCGTGTCGCGGGGGGGGGGGGGGGGGGGTGAGCCTGACCGTTTTGAGATGGCTAAAAGCGACGACGCAAATTCCGCCTTCCACAAGTGTTTATCGTCCATTAAATGGTGCCCAACGCCGCTCGCGTGCGCAAGGAGGCAGGCCTGCGTCTCGGCAAGAAGGCGGTTTTTGAACGAAAACGACAAGAAAGCGGGAGCTCGATTTGCGGAGGAGGAGAGGGGGGGGAAGAAAACAAAAACCGGCATCGGCTAAGAGTAAAGCGCTGCGAAAAAAATTATGACAGCAATGAACGAATCTCATTAACGAAACAAAAAAAATGATGTGCGCTCATGAGCAAGCAATCAATCGCAGCCTCTTGTTAGCGGGAAAGTGAAGGGATGATAAATGCACCCCGATGTGCAAACAAGCAGTGAAACGCACAGGAGCACGCACACACACACACATGAATACACCCGCGTGGGTGGCATGCCCGTATTCCATAACGTACAAACATCAAGGGAAAAAAAAAATCACATCAATGTCAAAACCACTTTGAGTAAATTCACAATCCGCAATTTGTACATATGAGCATTCCACAGTTCGCAATCATACGCGTGCGCGCACCTGCCACACACACACGCGCACGGAGGCAGCGGAGAAACATAAATTTTAAATCGCAGCCATATAAATATATATATACGCGACGATAAATAATAATAGGAAAAAACAACAACGTTGCACGGCTAGCCGCAATCTCAGCGATTGTGTCCGAATCACAGCCCCTATCGGCGGCGGCGGCGGCGGCAGAGGAGGAGGAGGAATTTACGCATCTCACCATCGTCATTGCACAGCTCCAGCGGCTTCTGCTTCTGCACTCGTCTGGGGTCCAACCACGACGTGGTGCGGGTGCTGTGGCTACACAGACGGAAAAAAAAGGTGACATTTTATTAAAAGGGGGGGGGGGGCGGCAGTCACATGACGGCAGGCACGTCGACAGCTGCGAGCTGTAGGGCAGCTGATTTAAAGAGAAGTGCCGCGCACTCCCTGCAACGGTTGGGCGGGGGGGGGTGGCGGATAAAAAATAAATAATATTCTACGTAAATAATTTAAAAATAAAATAGAGAGATTTTTTTTTTTTTGCAGTGTGATGACTGGCGACTGCGTTACGTGAGATTATGTTCAGCTGCACATCGGGGGGGGAGGGAAGATGGGGTGGGGGGGTTGCGGAGTGAATGAAAAATAAATCTTCGATCTCAGCATACAGCGCGCGCGAGAGCGAGTGCAGGGGAAAAGCAGAAATTAAAAAGGCACCGGAGTGGATGGGTGGTGTATATATTTTTTCGCTCTCTCTCTCTCCCGTCTTTTATTTTTAAACGAGCTGCTGCCCGCGTTCCCGTGCGAGCCGAGGCTGGCTGCATGCAGACGACGGGGCGTGCGCGCTCCTGCCGAGGCGCCATGAGAAGCGAGAGCTGCAGTCGCCGGCCGCTTACCCTTCGTAAATTCGGCACGCACAACTACACAAAAGGCGACACCCCCCCCCTCACTCCCACCGTGCCTCGCTACGTGCGGGAACAAATGCAAATTAGGAAACATCCTGTTGACGGTGAAGGAAATTAAGCGGGCTCGGGTAAAACATCTCGAGATGATGGAGACTCAACGACGGAGTGACAGCCAAAGAGGAAAACATTCCCAAGGGGGCATCCACCATGGAGACGGAGCCACAGAGTCGGGCACACGCAGGCGTCAGATTGATCGTTACAAATCGCACAAGCGCCAGAGATGACGACGGCTGGCAGGAGGCCGTCACGACCGATACACGTGAGCGGGCGCCCGCCCGCAGCGGCGGAGCCGACAGGATCAGCTCGCACGCCACGCGAGAGTTCGCCCACGGTATACGTCGCAATCAGAATGTTTATTTGTACTAGAGGAATCCGATGAGCTTTCAAGCTCTTTTCCACAGATGTCGAGAGTGGGTGAGAACTAGGCCTTGGCAAGGTAAGGTAAAAGTGTAAAAACAACGAGCCTACCTTTTGCCCTACCCTTTACGCTTACCCCTTGGCATATCGACACCTTTACCCTGTACCCCTTTTACCCGGTAAAAAGGGTACAATTACCTTGCCGAGGCCTAGTGAGAACGTTACAACAATATAAAAACAACAGCAATGTATGCAGATCACTAAACAAATAACATCGATTACACTATTTTTGCTTCACCAGGTAGAGCCCACTGAGCTATTATCTTCTATTTCAGAAGCGACCTGGCCACAAATGTTAGCGCAACGAAGTGGCTCATTACGTGGAAATTCATAGTAGCCAACTAATGGAAATAATCTATGTGTGTGTGTGTTGAACTTCATTCGCACCGTACGTAGCCAACGACAACAAACTAAACGCAAAAAGCAGGTCTTAATAAAAATCGGTTATTTTCCTAACGTGCACGTGAATGGCACGTGGTATAACTGCATGATTGCTAAGCGTTGGAATGGGAACGAGTTTTCTTTTTCGTTTGTTAACCACCGACTTGTGCAAATGCTTACGCTAAGAGTCGAGCAACACACCGTTGTTGGGACACCGTATGCATCCGTGCACTCAAATTAGTGACGTAGTATTCAACGGTGATTGCGTTCACTTAATACGGTACAGACTTTTACGAGCACACCCACGGCGTGTTTTTTTAAACCATCGAACGTGCGGGCGAAGGAAACCCTCGGCTCGTGTCAAACAGCCCCCTGCAAGGCCATTATAATATTAGTTCTACTTTGTGGGAAATCAATCGCTTTCTTTAACGACCAGACTGGCCTCCGCTACCATCATCAAAATCTATTTATACTGGAGGAATACGATGAGCTATGAATCTCTTGTTCACACATGTGCAGGAGACAGCACCAGCCATGGGCAATCTCCTCCTGGATGAAGGCCTTCACACCGTCTCTCACGACCCTGCCATGCACTTGCCACCTGTACACGAGCCGACGTCATCGCTCCACGTCCCCAGTGGACGTCCACTCGGATGCGTTCCATTCCTTGGGCTGCCACTCCATCATTGTCCTTGATCATTGGTCATCATCGCTTCGAGCGACACGTCCTGCCCAAGTCCACTCGACCCTTCATCACAGTCCGAAGTGTGCCCTTTAACCTTGCACGTTCTCTCCACAACGCAGCGGTTCTCAACCCGTGGGACGGTTGGAGGCGGCGCGCGGGCTGCGGCGTGGAAACCGTGCAGGATAAAATGTGAACGCGCGACGACACAACACGCCAACACACCGATTACGCAACGTGAAGCAAACGCCTTGCGAACACCGCACGTGGACACGCGACCTTGGGGTCCTCCGGGGGTGCACGTGGATTGAGGAGGGAGTCTGGGGACCCGTGGTCTTGATTGGGGGTGGGGGGGGGTATGGGTTAGTGTGGGGGCGCCATACCATAAAATGGTTTCGATTCACTACTTCGAATCACCGCCATAGGAATGTGGAATTTCGCACATTGACCTAGGGGCTATCGACGGAGATGAATGCCACCCGGGGCTCACTTGAGCGGGGAAACAGGCGCACACAGGCACGCGAGTCGATAAACAGCTGTCACGGGCAAACGCTGCATCCTCCGCTGGTCAGTTCAATTAAAAGACAATTTCCAAGGCGAGCGACTCCTGGTGGGACATGTCACGACTCGACTATGAATTACACGTCAGTCTAATGGACACAAGGACAAAAAGTGATTAAACCTATCAAGCGTGTTCTCACATCTGAGAACCCCGTTTGTCAAGAGCAGTCCGTTCTGTTCCCCCGTACGACGGCAATGTGTTCCGGAGCTGAATACCAATGTCGAGGTCTGCTGGCCATGGACGAGAGGGCTTCATGAGAGAGTTCGTGCAGTGTTGCCCTTCCTCCTCCGTTGCAAGAGCGCAGACAACATTGGTTCACTATACGGTCCGCAGTTTGGATTTCATGGCCACAAATCGCACGACTGTGGTTTGTGTCTTCAATTCTCCATCTCCAAAAGGAGCTGTGTGCTTCGGCCTGTTGATGTTCTGATGCAGTTGATGGTTCCACCAGTGTCTTCGAGCAATGCCTAAGGCCAGGAGGTGCAAAAGTGTGGGTCTCAAATGGAGGCGTTTATTCTGGACGCCCGCAATTATTACACTCCGTTTTCCAACAGCGTTATTCCAGATCTGGGCGAGATTCTAGGATGGTGACAGCAGCGCCATCTGAGAAGGGATGCGATCAGGACTTGTGAGTCGCTCACGAGGAGACATCGCAGAGGTCTTGATTGAAGGGTCGGTGGTTGTCGTTGACAAGAAAAACGCACGGATACTCGAGAAGAAAAACTCAACCCGGGGCGGACAGAAATCCCTAAAAATAAAACATTCGACTTAATCAGTCGTCGTCCTCATCATCAGCCACGATCAATCAATCGAATGCGAGATGAAGACCTCCCACCAAGCAGTTGCCATCTCACGCGACCCTGAAACGCAACAGCCCAGCGGCCAACCGCACACGAGCGGATTTCCGTCACAAACATCTCCTTGGTGGACATGCGTACGCTCACACGCGCTCCCCCCATTCCCTAGCCGATGCTCCATCGATTATTTGTAACCATTGGTCATCATCCCTTCTAGCCGTGTCTATCCATAGGGCAATTTCTGTTGCTGGAGTTGTCAAAAATGGATAGTTTTCCAACGCCTGGCAGACTGTTCTTGCGCTTTGCTCGAGTCCAGTTTCCATTTGTATAACCTCGGGTTACTGTGGTCATTGCTGACCATCATCAGCCACGGTCAATCCACTGCTGGATGAAGGCCTCCCCAAGCCGCTATCTCCCACGATTCCCCCGATGTAATCGCTCCATCTCTCTAGGTGGACAGTCTCCCAGGCAAGTTCCACCACCTTGGCTGACACTCCATTGCTAGTCTTGACCGTTGGTGATCATCCCTTCTAAGCGACGCATCCTGCCCTCAAGCCAATTGATTTCATTTTTCTATTTAAAGCTTTCGTGACTGCAGGGATTCATCTTCTTGGTTCTTTCGGTAACGTCACGTAGAAGGGAAGTAATAAAATAATAAAAATAAAACATGATAAAATAATTCTCACGACGTTTCTGCCACAACGCAAGCAGCCGTCCTCAGGTGAAGAACAGGTCTGTCAGGGAGACAGCGTCTGAATGGCCGAAACGTCGTGAGAATTATTTTATTATGTTTTATTTTTATTATTTTATTACTTCCCTTCTATGTGACTTTACCGAAAGAACCAAGAAGACCAATTGATTTCCTTTAGTTTGAATGACGTCATTAACATGCTTATATTCTGTTATGCATGCGCTGCCCTTTCTGTCGTCCATTGTCATTCCAAGCGTGCATCTCTCCATGCGCTTTTATGCACACTTTTTAGTTTTAGTCCTATTATTTTTTTCTTCAACACGACAGCGCCTCTAAACAGTACATCTTAGGAGGAATCGTGTGCCATGTATAATGCACGCGTTACTAATGTGCACGTGTTTAAAAGTTGATGACAGTACAGTCGCTTCGTGTGCTGGAATTCACTAAAACACATCGTTTCTCCGGTCACCACCCCGCCCCCCTCCCGTCCTACACCCCCACCACAGTCTCCTTATCAAGTAGCATTCTCCCGCGTAAGCCAAACACGGTGCAGAGGCAGTCACGCAAAGCGTATAAACCTTTGGGGGAGGGGGGGCGGCTGTAACTTAAAAGCAAAGCCAAAAATAAAATTCACTTTACTCGAAGTTAGGGCAGCAATTTCGCTACACGGTCGAAGCGTCTCTCTCTTTATCGACGGAAAAATAATAACACGTCGGATTCTCGACACGACGCAATTAAGTCCGCGGGTAGCCTCTGGTTACGTGAGCAGCAGGAGGAACGGAGCAAAATGGATGGCCGCTTCCTTCAGGATGCTGGCATTTTATTC